TCCGCATAGCAGCGAGATGGGGCAAGTTTACATTGGCAACCAGCAACGCAATACCTATTGATTTTCCTGAGGGCAAAATAAACTGTTATGAGAAATATGGGGGAGGGGGTTTCCTCCAAGCTCCCACTGGTTTATAGAAGGGAAAAAAAACATTTTTATGGAACTCTCATTTGGGCTGCAAGACCCTCACCCCACAGCCCATGATGTAAAATGAGGTGGGGCAGAGCTTACTAGAAGAGAAGGTGGTAGCTGCAGCAAGCATGGCACACCTCCTGCCTAATGGTGTGTTTATGGGGCAGAAAGGCTGCTGCTGGGTGTGTCAGTTTTTCTGTTCTTGATCTCAGGGAAGAATATTCCAAGGCTGCACTCTGAATTCTGTTGCTGCCTGTGTGTTTTTGGTTTACACTGCATATCATGGGCAGGCAAGCCTCTTGACTTTTTTGGTCATAGTCTGAAACGGTTTCTTCATAAAGAACTGTGAAAGCACCGTGCTGTGATTTCGGCCACTTCAAAACAAAGCTGCTTTGAAACTGAGGCTTCCCTCCACTGTAGTGCTTTTTATATCCCCCCCCCCCTTTTCTCAAAAAGCCCAAGAGGCTCCCAGCACTGGCCTGTTTCTGTGAGCTATGGTGCTGGAGAAGACTCATGAGAGCCCCTTGGACTGCAAGAAGATCAAATCAGTCAATCTTAAAAGAAATCAACCCCGACTGTTCCCTGGAAGGCCAGATAATGAAACTGAAGCTCAAATACTTTGGCCACCAAATGAGAAGGGAGCACTCACTGGAGAAAACCCTGATGCTGGGAAAGATTGAAGGTCAAAGAAGACGGGGACGGCAAAGGATGAGATGGTTAGACAGTGTCATCGATGCAACGAACATGAAGTTGAGCAAACTTCAGAGGACAGCGGAAGACCGGAAGGCCTGGCGTGATCTGGTCCATGGGGTCGCGAAGAGTCGGACTCGACTGTGCGACTGAACAAGAACAAAATCTCCTCCTCAGTTCCTGCTGCAAAGAGATTTCTTGATTAATCTCAACAAAGAGGTTGTTTGGTAGCCTTAAGGCAACTATGCAAAAAGCTTTGCTCTTTTTCAGGGGGGAAGTCTGAGTGTGGTGCTATTGACCTAGCTAACGGGAACCCCAAAATAAATGACTGCCTTTGGATGTCATGGTGGCCGGCACTCTTACAAAAAGGAGGGCATTTCAAAAACTAACCAATTTGTTGTGGCATAAACTTTTGGGAACTAGAACTTGCATCATCAGATAACATACTAAATATGTTAATCTTAAAACCGCCAATTCTGGATTGGGAAATTCCTGGAGATTTCAGGGTGGAAGACAGGGTTTGGGGAGGAACCTCGGAGGGATATAATGCTATACAATAAACCAGCCCTGTAGCTAGGAATTTTTTTTGGGGGGGGGACCAGGGGGTGCCAGAGGAGGCAGGTAGGCAGGGCAGAATGGCCCACCCCGGCATCTCAATGCATCTGCGCCAGATGGGGTCAAGTAGATTCCTCCTTTTCTCCAAATCCTTCCCCCACACACACCCACACAATTTCCCCACTGCTCTCAGATTTCCCCCCCCCCCGCTTCCTGACAAATGGGAACCCGGCAGGTGTAGGTGTTGCCCCAGAACTCACAGTATTTCCCCCATTTGCAGACCTTATGAAACAGTGTAAAGTAGTTCAAACTGAAAGATGGGGGTGGGAAGGAGGGCTTTAGGAACCCAATGCTTCACCTCCCCCCCCCACTCCACTCCCCACATTATAGCAACAGCTAGAGCAATCCATATCCAGTTAAGGCTGCAACATAGCTTAAAGAAGAAGAATGTGCCACAGAGTCGACCCAAGTGCGATTCTCTTGAGCTAAAGGGGGTGTTTCAAATTGCTCCAGAGGCTTTGCCACTGTTTGCATAGCCACAGCTAAGGTCTCCCTATAGTTAACCCTTTCAGGCGCAGATATACCTTGTCTTTAAAACAGTTGCTCCCCCCCCCTTTTTTTTTTTGCTGTTGTGTTTGTTCCCCACTTCTGTCCTCCTGTCTGCGTGTTCCATTCTGGCTCACCACAGCACTCAGCCGGGAAAGGAGATGCCCTCTTGTCTGACTCCCCGCCCCGGAAGAGGACCTGGGCAGGCAGGTGGGCAAAGAGAGTGGCAGGCGCTCAGGTGTGCAGCAGCCGGGGGAGCTGGGAGCGTGGTGGCACCTTCAGGCATATGTCCCAGTGCCTGGAAGGTGTGTCTGCTGCTTCTGGGGTGGGGGCACTGCAGAATTAAAAGGGGGCAGAGCTCTGTGCACCCCACCGCTGGCTACAGCCCTGGACTCAACTCTCCTAAGCAGACATTTTTTCCAGAGGAACTGATCTCTGTAGTCTGGAGATCAGTTGTGATTCTGGGTGATCTCCAGCCGCCACCTGAATATTGGCAACCCTGGATAATCTTGCCACATGACTCCTCCTTCTGTGCTGCAGCTGACGTGGCTACCACTCCCAATTATTAAAAGTGGCTGGTAGCAAAACTGGGCGGTCAAGGAAGAGAGAGAGGCATTCTCAGCCCAGTCTTCTGATTGGGTACACCAAACTTCTTTTATTTTCCTTTTAGGACAAGTTGGAAAAGGCTACAACTTTAGCCATTTGCTTTCCAGACTCTGAGGGTCATTGTAAGGGGCTAAACCCCACCCTTCCATCAAAACTAAGGGGTAAACTACATGCAGCTGATGCATAGCTGAGCTCTAAAACAGTCACTTGAGGGCAGGGCGGATATGGATCATAGGGGAAAGGGAGGTTCCCTCCTGCACTGCTTCCTGAATTGGAAATTCCTCCCCATCCCAGGCTGCTCGAAGCCCCAGGAAAAAGAAAGAGACCCTTAAAGTAGCCAGTAGAGAGGCATTTTCAATGGGGAAGGGGTGAGTTCTCTTCCTTCCTCAGTGCCACCATGCCATTCCAGATTTGGGATCCCTGCAGCTGCTTTTAGGACGAGCGGTTCTATTCAGGGAATTTTGGCATCACATGTAGGTGGGTTGGCCCTTAGCTCTAAGTTTCCAGCCCTGAATTAAACCGAAACAAGAAACATTCTGTATTTTGGTAATCTATAGTATTTGAATCTCTTAGTTTTTAATGAAATTTTTAAGCCTAGCACTTCTCGCCATTGCAGTGTAGAAGATTTTAAATAAGTATCTTAAATTAAATCAGAGACTTGTTTGGGGACGGGGTCAGGGGGAGGTTTCAGTTTGGCTATTCCTGTTTATATTTCTGCTTCAGGGGGAAAAACCCCAACCCCTATTATGAAAGCCCCCACATTCCCAAAGCAAAGGGGTGGAAACTGCTCTCCAGCACAATAGCAAGGGCCATGGGGCCTCATTCTGCCAGCTAATCCTTTTGAATAATAGGCTTGGAACTGCTGTATGCAACTATTTTGCTAAAGTTGGAGGAGGATTCCACAGCCCAATTAAAGGATTAGAACTGAAAGCTGTTGCATTACTCTTAAGTATGTGAATATAGGAACTTGGGGTGGGACCAAGAGAGAAATCAGTGTTCATTGTAATGCTGTATTATACCAGTATTATCTTGGCCCAAGGGCTGGTTTTTGGGGAGGAAATCTTTTGTTCCGTATTGTGCATTGTGACTGCTCCATAAGTGTGCTTTCCAGCTTTATCCCTCAGCATGTGCAACATGCTCTGTGGCTGGAAGGTAACTGTTTTAGATAGCTAGTTATGGTTTTCATGTGCTCACTCAGGAGGTGGAAGGAACCAAAAAGCTGTCTACATCATCCCTTGGATGCAGGCAGGGCTATCTACCCCACAGCTCCTCCCTCCACCCCCCACAGGTGAATCTGTGCCCCATGTGTCACAGGCAGAAAACAGCAGTGCCACAGAGATTGATTGAAGTCAGCTCATGCAGTAAAGCCCAACCACACATTGTAAGAGAAAAGCACACAACCCTCCCCACCACCAAAAGTTGTTTGACCTTCTAAATTGATGAAGGTTCCCAACACATCCATCAGTCACAGCCGTGAGCGAAGCATGAGCAAAGTCCTTCTGACCAACTGCAGTTTTATTGGTTCATCTTCGTGCTCTGCCTGTCCTTCACAATCAGTTGTTGGTGCCCAGTTTGTACTCACATGGCCATTGCCTCAAGCAGTGAAAACAATAACCAAAAAGGGAAAGAAAAACAATGGTGAGGTGGGGAAATCTTTTATTATGTTTCACTCCAAAATACCTTCGTGCTTTGGCTGCTGCTTTGTCGGGGGATCTGTAAGGCAGCCGTCTCTCCGAATGTTCCAGCCATGATAGCCGCTGGCCAGACCCCCTTTCTCATTCGCTGTGACTCTGCATTGGTGAAGCCTCTTTCTTGCAGTCATGAAGTGGAAACCCATCTCACACAGTCTGGTCCATCCCTGGACTGACATTTCAGCCAGCCCTCCACATCTTAATTGTGCGTTGCTTTTCTCCCTACTTGTAGCTTCATCTACACATTATGAAGCACTCATGTTTGCTGGCAAACGACTAGAGGATTTAGTGTCACATTTGCAATGCGAGATTTGTGCCTCCCAGATGTACACCAGCTGTTTTTTCTTTGTGACCACAGCACACAGGGAGAAGCAGCTTTAGCCTCCCCGCCACCATGCTGCATTCACATTCACAAATTGCCCTATGGAGCCGCTGTTGGTTCTGTGTTGAAACTAACATGTAGCCATGTCAGTAACCTCATCTACACCTGGCAAATGCCTCTTTGAAGGCCTAGAGACTTTTCCATTTTTGTTTCTAAACCAAGACTGCCTCTGACAGTAAATAGCTGGTGTTCCTTCCTTCCTTCAGCCCTGTGGTGTTCTTCTTGGTTTGTTTTCTCTTTTCCTTCGCATGTACCTAGTCCCTGACCTTACTGGCAAAAGCCATTGAAACATTTGTTCTACTTTCAGTACAGAGTCTTTGGAACAGGTCAGATGTACTTAAAACTGGAAGCAAACCTTCTTTGGCTTAAAAAAAAAAATCTTTTTGTGTGTGTTGCAGAAAAAACAGCTGATGACGATGTGCAGAAGTCTGATATCTCTTCCAGCAGCCAAGGAGTGATCGAAAAGGAATCCCTGGGGCCTCTCCTTCTGGAGGTACGTGCAGAGGAGGCAGTTGTTCCACGTAGTCTGGAAGGCTGCACTTTTCTGTATTTCTAACATCATGACCTTTTAAGTATCTAGAAGCATTTTTCCTTTTAACGTTAGCTGGGGAGCAGAACTCAAGATTCCTAAAAGAAGTCATTGTGGAGTCCCAGTCTTTGGAAAATAGACAAAATAGGTTAGGAAAAATCTATTAGGCAAATGAATTCCATATGCCTAATTGTGTGTTAAATCTAGAGACAATTTTTACAAAATACTGCCTTTGGATGCTGCTGTTGTGTAGTTCCTGTTTGCAAATCCCAACATTCAAAGGCAGTTACACCTCTGAATCCTAGTGCCAAAGGAAAGATCAAAGGAAGGCCTCTGCTTCTATGCCGTGTTGTTAGTCCTCCAGAGAAACTGGTTGGCCACTTTGTGAAATGTAATGTTGGACTAGATGGACCACTGGCTGACTCTCAGTAAAGCTAGAATTATTAACCGAATAGCAAAATAAGTCATTTTGAGGAAAAATTAGCATGGCTTCTGCAAGGGGCCCTCCTCTGACCTTTTGAAGTTCTTTGGTAGTGTCAACAAGCTTCTGACAAGTCTACACATAAGCATCTATAAAGAGTTTCCAAATATTTTAAAATATGTCCATATGCAATTGTCATCTATATGCCATACATTCAAATGTTCATAATGTTGTAAGGTCTTCAATCCACTGGATAATGGGAGGTGAATATTTATCTCTCTGAAGTCTTTCCAGCAACATTAAGGGCACAGAGGGTCCATTACTTAGCCTATAGGAGACAGGCAAATAGTATATAAGCATTCTCAAAGACATCATATTCATTAATGGGTTAAAGAACAGCAAATATTATGTAGGAATAGACAGATTTCACAATGGCAGGATGCAGGCAATGCAATTCTCCCAAGGATCTATACAACTGATGCTGTTATTAATAAACGTTGTAGAGTCACAGGTGAACAGTGAGGTAGCTAAGTTTGTAGATAGCACCAAATCCAAACAGACTGCGAAGAGCTCTAAAAAGACATCTCCAAACAGGGTAAATAACTGACAGAGTGGCAAATGTCATGTTCACCAATGCAAAAAAATAAATAAATTCCAACTTCACATTTATACTGGGGGGGTCTGAACTGGTTGAGATTACTATTGAAAGAAAACATGGAGGTTTGGTAGGCAGTTCGTGGAAAACATCCACATAGGGTGGAGGTGGTAAGAAAGCAGACTTTCCGTATGAGAAAATGTGTTTATGGCTTTTTAGCGTAGGAAAAGATAATGAACAGGTGAATTGGTGATGTGGTGCTTGCTGCTTCTTTTGTGATGATCCACTATGTATTATCTCTCATCTCCTTTGTCCTCTTTCCCCCAGTATGGGTCCTAATTACATGTCACAAGACTATGGTGCTGTCACGGGTTACTGGCAGACTATAATATAGATTAAGAATGTAAGAACATAAGAGGAACCCTGCTGGATCAGACCAGTGGTCCATCTAGTCCAGCATCCTGTCTCACACAGTGACCAGCAAGTTCCTCTGGAGGCCCAACAAAAAGGCATAGAGGCCGAGGCCTTCCCCTGATGTTGTCTCCTGGCACTGGGATTCAGAGGTTGACTGCCTCTGAATGTGGAGGTTCTTTTTAGTCACTATGGTTAGTAGCCACTGATAGACCTATCCTCCATGAATCTGTCTAATCTCCTTTTAAAGCTGTCCATGCCTGTAGCCATCACTACATCCTCTGGCAGCGAATTTCACATTGTAATCAATCTCTGTGTAAAGAAGTATTTCCTTTTGCCTGTCCTGAATCTACTGCCCATCAGCTTCAGATTAATGCAATGGTGAGTGATATGGAAATGAATGCAGTGGTGAATGATTAATGCAATGGTGAATGGTATGGAAAGAGAGAGCAGTAATTATTCTGCCTTTCTCTGACAATACTCTGATTCAAAGGTCACCCAGTGACATATGTGGGGTGTTTGATTCCAGACAAACAAAAGAAAGCACTTTTTCCACATAATGAATAATTAACTTTGGGGATTTGCCACCACAAGACATGTTGATGACCACTGGTGTAGATGGATTTGCTGATAAGTCTGTCAGCAGCTGTTAGTAATGATAGCTAAATGGCGCCTCCAGAATCAGGCAGGAAAACTACTTGTTGCTGGACATTCTCGTGGACATTCTGGAAGTGTTTGCCTGGTCACTGTTGAAAGCAGGATGATGAACAAGATAGACCCTTCTCCTGATCCAGCAGAGTTGCTCTTACATTCATATACAAGCCCTACATTTTCATAGCAAAGAATGATGCAATAGAACACAGCTTTGCCTCTTGCTTTCCTGGTGTTCTTACATTCACCGGCTTAAGCTAACATCCTGGTTCTGTATACCCAGTCATCAAGGTAGACTGGAATCCACTTTGCACGTGAAAGGTTTCCTTGAAAGGTCATAACAACAATGTGTTTTTGCAACTCTTGTTGCAGCTTGGTAGCTAGAGTAGTATAGTGTATTCTATTACAGTGGTATGGTGACCCACAAGTCCAAATTTACTTGGTATGGTAACTCATCAAGGGCTGGCCCAATGTTTTTAAGTGCCCTAAGCAAACTATGACTTCTATTCCAGTATTCCATTTTCTATAGTGCCCAACCAGATGCTTTTGAGAAACCAACAGAGACATCTCACAAAGGGTGCAGCTGCCCCCACTATGAACCCCAAGCAAATGGCGGTTCATCTCTGGGCAAGGGAGCCACCATTAGAGAGGGCTGGCCTGCTGCCCAATTCCAGAGGCTTCATGACCCACTTTTGGGTCCTGGCTCACAAGTTGGGAAACACTGTTCTATTGCAAGCCTCTGTGAAAAGAATACTCCAGTCAAAGAAAATGTGTTTGCTTCTTGGTCTCCCCATTGCATAAGAGATACAGTAGACCCTCTCCATTTGCAGATTCATGACTCAGAATTTCAATTATTCACTGTCTGTGACCCAACCACATGATGCAGCTAGTCCTGAGCACATAACCCCTCTGCATGTTGGGAGAGCAGGAACAAGTGTGCTGACCCTGCTTCTGCATGATCACCCACTTCTCAGAATTATGTTTACACAGGGAGGAAGTGTATGCACTGGGTGAATGGCACAATGCCCACCTCACCTGCCTGGCAGCACCCATTTGCTGTACTGTGACTTGGCCAGGCAGATAAGGTGGCCACCGCAATGCAACTCACTTGGCATTGCTGCAGCCAAGCTGGGTACTGTTCATGACCTGCCTGGGCCTCTCTCCATGGGGGGTTGGAGCCCTTTCTAGGGCCATTTTGGCCTCCTACTCCACCTCTGGAGGTGGCTGGCCCTGTCTCCAGTATTCACAGGTTTGTCCGTTTGCATTGATCCCAGGAGCAGAACTTCCACAAACGGCATCAATATTCCTTTGCCTTCTTCGGCTCTTTCCTCCCCCTGCCCCTTCAGAGGTTGTACATTTGTCCTCTCTAGTGCTCAAGTGCACAGCCCTGGCAATTTTAAAGACCTACATTGTTCCCCTCCCAATTTTAGTAGGTGTGGATACTGGTAGGTATAGGAGACTCCTCAAAAGCTAAATGTTACCCCCACCCAGGGACTCACATCATCACCTTCTGGAAAAGCCCCAGGAGCTCATAACCTTCTTGCCTGTGTGATCCATGAACCCAGCTTGCTTTCCTGCCTGCCTTTTCAAAACCAGTTTTCTTTCTTTTATTATTCTCCAAATCAGGATACTCTGGAGAGAGGCAGGGGCCCGGCTCCTAATTTCCAAATATGGATTATTCAGTACCAGTTGCACGCTGGTTAGGCATCAGGCTGGCTGCGTTAAATGGAACTGTGATTGATTTACACCCGATACTGTTGGTTAGCTGCTGATTCACTGTGTTCCCTTTGCCCACTTCATTTCCTGCCTGACTTATTCATGCTGCTGTTTTCTTTTCTAAATACTTTAAAACACATGGCACTGGCTTTTCATCGGGAGGACTGAGACAGGCAGAAAGTTAAGGGGGAAAGCGCTCTCTCTCTCTCTCTCTCTCTCTCACACACACACACACGCACACACACACACACACACACACACACACACACAGCAACCTGCCTAACTCTTCTCTTCAAACCCCATCTTTCCACCAGGGGGTGTGGTGCACAAGCTTCCAGTTGCTTAGCAACAGGCAGCAGCTTGTGACTAAGGGAAATGGCCAGTCATGGGCCAGTGGCGGTAGTAATGCGAGGTGGGAGGGGGACATGTTGGGGTTTGGTTTAATTTGAAATTGCTTCCTGTTTCCAGCAGCTAATGCAGGATGGGGAAAACACAATTTCCAGAAAACAGTACTCAATGAAAAATAAAGAGTGTGAAGCCAAGTAAATCGTGTCTGCCTGCTTTGCAAGGCAATCAGTTACACAAGACAGGGGAACCAAGGCCGGCATGGGGAACGTTGCTAGTCATGCACATGTGGCTGGCTGTGCCTGTGAATATATAATCTCAAATTATGAAGCCCAGAGGGATGGGACTTCATCAGTCCCTCTGCATTTGGGCAAGATTTAAGCATTCCTGGACCATAACTGAGGGAGGTCTCTCTAGCCCACTTTGGTGAATATACAGTGATCAACTGTATCCGCTTGTTGGGATTTTGTTTGTCATTCCAATTCTCTCTGTTTCCAGTTGTTCCTGATCTTACATCTGAATCCAGAAGTGGCCCGTGTTAATGTTTATGCAAGATGCTTTTTGGCTTGTTTTCCTCTCAGAGACCAAAATATTTTTGGTGTCTCTGTCCCCATCTTCCTTCCTGTTCAAAACTGAATTACACAAATTTATATCCTATACTTCAGTAAAAGCGTTCCATTTAAATGCTCAGGTGAAGCAGTACATTTTAGCTTGGCTCCTAAACTCACACGGGGACGTGTTTGAGGAACAGAGCCGTCTCTCTTTTTCTAATGCAAGCTGAGAGGCTAGAAAAGGAATCAAAGTCTTGGCCTGAAATCCAAGGCGCACATAGTTCCAAATGAACCCTGGTGCCAGTCTTGTGGGAATGGCTCAGCCCCTGCTGCTTTTCCTGGGCCATGGCTTCCAATCCAGGCAGCAATTTTTCCTCATTTATACTGAATTTTCTCGGTGTTGTAAGGGAAGATAGCAGGTAGGAAAGCAATGCTGGCACAGCCGCCTTGAGCTGTGGAGGGGATGACAGAGGGGCAATGGAAACGGCAGACGGAAGAGTCAGAGGCACCGCAAGCAAGTCGGGTAGGCTCAGCAAGCTTGATATGGCCTTCGGGGCCTCAAGTGAAGACCACGGCTGTATATTTGTAAGTTTAAACGGTCAAGAGCACAATCTCTAAGATGTGTTTGTGTTGGGGAGAACAGGACTATCCTAGAAGGAAGGTCCGTGTTGATCCTACAATGTTCTGTTGAAGTCATTGTGAGCCATTATGCGCACAAGTCTGCTGGATCATGGCCATGTTTAAGATTGAGTCACCCAGTGTGTCCCCTCCCCCGTGTTAGGCTCCCTCGGGAACATCACAACATATTGTCCTACTCAGGAAATTTCAGCATGCTGACTGCGTTGTGAGGAGTTGATCCTATTTGTCTTGGTGCCTACACTGAAGAAAATTCCACTTCTGCTGCTGACTTCATCTGGGGAAGAACATGGGTCTGCTCTTCAATAAACAGAAGTACCCAAGATCGGCATTGAACCAGTCAGCACTGGTTTTGATGGAATTTCTTGTTGTTCTGGGCCCCGCAGGCACTGGATGGCTTCTTCTTCGTCGTGAATCGTGAAGGGCGAATCGTGTTTGTGTCTGAGAATGTGACAAGCTACTTGGGCTACAATCAAGAAGAGCTCATGAACACAAGTGTCTACAGCATCTTGCACGTGGGAGACCATGCAGAATTTGTCAAGAACCTGCTGCCCAAGTCCCTAGGTAAGGTGCATGATTTTTCTTTCCCTCCTGTGAAAAATGCTGCAGAATCAATTAAGCAGCTTGTCAGATATAGGTAAAATCCAATCCAGTTTGTCATTATTGTATTTTAACAGAATCTCTGTTCAGTAAAGTTCAGTGCTTGTACATGGGTCAAAAGCTATTCTTAGCATACTCTCACATACATGTGGTTTAGCTTATGTGTCTCTGATTTCATGCATGTATGGATCTGCTGCTGATAATTTTAGCTTATTTTTATTGTTAATGACTTCCTTTCTTTTCATTCTTTTCTAAATTTTGTAAACTCCCTTGGTCCTTATACAAGTAGAAATTTGTTAGATTTAAAACTTTGGCTCATCACACTGATCTAATGATTTGCCCGAATGAACACAGGAAGTCCTTGGACTTGCATGTTCCCTCTCTCTCCCCATTTTCCTTTCACATATGATGCATCTATTTGAATACTTCCTGGATTGCAGCAAATCCTAGTTTCTTGTTAAGTCTGAACCAGTTCTTGTTTCTTGCTTACAAACCAGGATTAAGCTATAGCTTGGAATCCTGGTTTGTAGGAAGAAACCAACTATACTTTGTGATTCAGCCATTACCACAAATAGTAGCTTTCCAGTATGTAAGATAAACACAATGGCAAGGAAGGGGAGGGGACATAAATGAATAAACGTGAAAACTTCCAAGACCTGTTCTCATAACAAACCATGGTTTGTCATTGTGTCTGAACACAGCCAATAAATTATCGTGCCTTGGAATAGTTTTGTCCTGGAGCAGGCCTGGTGACTCAGTAGTATCCTAAAGGGCTGTCGAGATCTAGTGCTAGACATAAGTGTTGTTAAACTTGTGGCGGAATGGGTCTGCTCCAACCTGCAGGCTCTGTTCCACCCTGCCCTCCAAGGTTTTCCCAACATCTGGAGAGGGTTTTCTTTCTTGGGTAATCACTGCCACCACCTGACCTTTGTAAGGAATTGCCCGCTGGGAGGGTCAGGACTCCCAACTTCCCTTCCCAGTTCTGAGGCCTTGCCTCTGTGTCTCTCGCTGCCCAGTGCCTGGTCACCACAGGAACAGTTCACAGCCCTGTGTGCCCCTGGAGGAATACCCACTTGCCAAATGCCTGCCTTCCCCTGGCACTCCTTTTAAAATAGCATGTCCAAAACGGTGGAGGTCTATGTGGTACAGATAACCACTACCAGCATCAAAGGTTATCAAGTATTTATTAAAGAGAAAATGTTCACAAGCATAGTTTTAGAACAGCACCAGACTGAGCAAGGGATTCAAAAGAAATTGGTAAAACACAGTTCCCCTGTCCCTCTCTCTATACATGCCCTATCAGATGTCAAAATATAGGACAGGCTCTTTAGCTTAGAATGTTATAGACCTCTAAAGAGTCACCATTACCTTGAAGCTTCCTCCAGCTCTCCAGCCCAGCACATGGTTAATGGCTGCCTCCTCCAGACCTCAGTTAAGAGTTCTGTCTGCTTTGATGGACTTTTCTGCATGTTCTGATGGACTTAGGGCAAAAGAGAGCTTCCTCCTCACTCCCCTGTGTTTTATCACCTCTTTTCCCCATCCACTGACCAGGTCAGGCCAGGTGAGAGAAGCTTTTCCTGAAGTCTCCAGAATTTCCTTAATAAAGTCCCTCTAGTATTTAACATATCCAAATCGCTGTTCCCTGCTTGAAGGGGGTGGGGGAGCTTGACCATCCCATTGTCTAGACCTATTAGTATTTGTATGAAGGTGGGCTGAGGTAAGTCTGGAAAGCAATTGAACTGACTCCTCCCCTTCCTACCTGTTCTCTGCCCAGAGAGAGAGAAAAACTTTTAAAACTCAACGTGTGAAGGTTTTGCTAATTTCAAACTTCCAAAGGAAAAAACGCATTTCTTCACAGAACTCTTTGCAAATTCTAAACATGAGGCTATCAAACTTAGCACATGCATTAGTGGCAGGTTGTTCTGATATGTTTGTTTAATTTCATGAAGCAGAATATCTCCAAAAAGTATGAACTTCAACCAGAAGGAACCTGAAAAGTAAAGTGGTTGGTTTTCACACTGGAAGAAAACAAGCAATGGGATTCCCCAAAGGAAGACTCAAGAGGGTTGTCTAATCTGATTTGTGAACAAAGGCTACAGAAATTGGGTGGGGGGAATCATTTAGAAGCAAAGATGATTAGGGAGAGCAAGACATAACAGATGTGTATAGAATTATGAGCTGTCTGGAAAGAAGGAAGTTATTTGTCTTGTAAGTTGTAACACCAACTTGTGGGTCTACATCACACACTGTGTGTTAGTGTTTCATCCCTTCCCGCTCTCTGGTTTGCCAGAGCTTTACCTTAGTTGATTTCACACTACTTGGAAGGTGCCAGGGTTGAATAGTTGCAAACTGCACTTGAGAGCACAAGCAACTGGTTCAGGAGATTAGGAGGAGGCTCTATTTTGCAAGCAGATCCAATTTAATCCTGTCGACGATTTGCTCACTGCCATTCAAAATGTGTGTCATTTAATCTGCATTTAAGCTCATTTTTTGAATAATATGCTTACTCAAGAGCATCATAATGTAATTCCCCGTAAGAACCTCAGTTGACTACTCATCCAGAAAACTCCAACAGATGTAAAGGCTTTGCTTTCTCCACTGTGGAGGCAGAATAGGCTGAAGGCTAGACTGAAAACTAAGGCCACAGTTGCTACACGAGGCCTCTGGCCGGTCCCTTACTGTACTGTGGCGTGCTGAGCACATGGCTGGTTTCAATCAAGGGGATTGTTGCCGCTCTCGGATCAATGCCTTGTTGAAGGTAGGTCAGCTCCAAGGCCCATCAATCTTGCTGGTGTTTAATCGACTCAGCGATGAGGCTCTTCTTGCTTAACACAGCTCTGCTTATCAAAGTTATGCCCTGTTAGAGGAAGTCCTTCTTGTTGATGAGCCACTGATCTAGTGAACTCCTCAGAGTTATTAGCGGCCATTTTAGCCGGTCCTTGGAGCCTGCTTAAGATAAGGAGATAGACAATATAATTGTTTGTAGAAGGAAGAACAGTAAGCAATTTTGTATAGAACACGTCAAGACCTGAGATAATGTGCAATGAATAGAAGGGTGGGGGAAGATGGAAGGCAGTGAGTTTCCATTCCTTGCTTTTCCATCCACTGTGCAGAGCCCCAGAAGAATGCTGTCAGGGGGACTCGTGGGTGAGAGCAAAGGGAGGAATGGGAAGTCTCTTTCCTCTTGCTATACAAATCCCTCCTCCACAATCATCATTTACCCTCAGGGCTTTTTTTTCTGGGGGAACGCACCAGAACGGAGTTCCAGAACCTCTTCGACAAAATTCTTTTTAAAAATGTTTAAAAGTTCATGAGTTTTTACTATACAGATTGAAAACTTCGTTTCCATCTTGAGAGTTCTGGCACCTCTTAAAAAAAAAAAGCCCTGTGTATCCGTATCACAATACAAACACATCTGTCACATGCCCATAGTTGCATGTTACACCCATGGGTATTCACAAACATACATGTATACCGGTACGTTCACCATGCACATACACTGCATACAGCTCCCAGCTAGTCATACTTGCATGCACGCACGCACACACAGAACTGTATGAAGGTCGAGTTTTGCCAGGGCTGTGAGCTATGCCTGGTGGACAGCAGGACGAAGAGAGTCAGCATGTAGGAGAGCAGGAATTTCCCCACAGGACTGGAATGCAGGAAGGATGATTAATCAGATGTGATGGTTGGAACCAGTCAGGAGCAGCAGGCAAGTCACCAAGACTGAGAACTTGCAAGACACCACCCTGAAAGCTTACTGGTGTCTCCATACAGCATGCAGTGTCGTAGTCCAGAGTTCTCTTTGAATCAAGTAGGCAGCTTAGTGATCTCACTCCTTTTGCAGGAACACTCAGCTGGGCAGAATCTCAGCAGCACACAATTACGAATGCTTCCGTTTTCAAAATCAATTTAGTTAACCCAGTGCAGCCCCTGAGTGTACACTAACTTCACATTGATTTGAGCATGGCATGTATCAAATTAGCTCCATTGAATATGAGGTCGACTTAAGCTAATTCAATATGAGGCAGGCTTAAATCAATATTTCACTTAATAAGGTCTTAACCTGATTTTAGCTTACTGCAATGCATGCCTGTGTGTGGACATGGCTTAATACTTTGTGGTTGTACTTTTAAAAAAACAAAAACCTAGTTTCCCATAGAACGGTCTTAAAATCTTACGTTTTGCTTAACGTGTAAGATCTGGATAAGGTTTTCCTTGTGCCATTTTTGTTAATAGGCCAAAAAAAGAAATCTTGTTTTGCCCTTGATATGGCATTTCCCAGTCCTGTGACTCTCGCTACCAAGAGAATCACATTTGAATGATCAACTAACTCCTAATCACATTTGAATGATCAACTAACTCCTAAGGATGGAAGGAAATTGAGGAAGGGGGTATCACTGAATAATAAAGCATATGCTTTGCAATATGTTGTTGAAGGCTTTCACGGCCAGAGTTCATTAGTTGCTGTAGATTTTCCGAGTTGTGTGGCCATGGTCTTGGCATTGTAGAACCTGACATTTCACCAGTAGCTGTGACTGGCATCCTCAGAGATATAACACAGAAAGATGGAGTACTCTCTGTGTCAAGGTGAAAAGAAAAATGGTAGGCAGGTAATTTATATCTACTCCAGAAGGTGGGGTAGTGCTGAGTTATTATCTTGTAGGAGTTCCCCAGGCTGTGAACATGCTAATGGAGGAACTTTCCAGAGGAGGTTCTTTTGTATATGGATTGTTTCCTGAGGAGGTTTCCTGTTTCCTGAGGAGGTTCTTTTGTATGTGGATTGGCTGTTGAAATTCTAATCTTATCTGTAGTGCTATTGTCAGATGTAGAGCCTTTTGTGTTTTTCAGGACAGGAAACCATGCCCTATTTATTTTTAAACTCTCTTCCTTCCTGTTGAAATTGTGTTTATGTTTATGAATTTCAATGGCTTCCCTGTGTAATCTGACATGATAAATGGAAGTGTTGTCCAGCCTTTCAGTGCCTTGGAACAAAATACTGTGTCCTGTTTGAGTTCAGCCACTGCTGATTTTTCAGGTTGGCCAAGTCTGCAGTGTCTTTCGTGTTCTTTTATTCTTGTCTGAATGCTTTGCTGTGTGGTCCCGATGTAAACTTGTCCACAACTGCATGGTATGCGGTATACTCCTGCAGAAGTGAGGGGATCTCTTCTGTCTTTTGCCGATCGTAGCATCTGTTGTATTTTTCTGACGGGTCTGAATACTGTTTATAGGTTGTGTTTTTTCATAAGTCTTCCCATCTGATCAGTGATTCCTTTGATATATGGCAAAAACACTTTTTCTGTGAGAGACTGTTTTTCCTCAGTTGTTTGTTTTACCTTTGGTTTAATTGCTCTTCTGATTTAATTCTTGGTTGCTTGAAGTGCATGATTTAGATGATTTAGTTCGTCATTGAGAAAGTGCAGTTCACATATCCGTCTTCCACAGTCTACTAATGTTTTGATTATGCCTCTTTTTTGCCGTGGTGATTGGAGTTTTTGTGTAAATAACGGTCCGTGTGAGTTGGTTTTCTGTAGACCTTGTTACCTAATTGAAGGTTAGTTTTGCGGATGACCATGATACCTAGAAATGGGAGTTTACCCTCGACTTCTTTTTCCACGGTGAATTGTATGTTGGGGTGGATTTTATTGAGGTGGTCTAAAAACTCCATCAATTCTACTTCTCCATGGCTCCAAATGATTAAAGGTATCATCTACGTACCGGAACCAGACTGTCAGTTTGTGGGGTGCAGATTCTAAAGCTGTTTTTTTCAAAATGTTACATGTAGACGTTTGCTATAACTGGGCTGAGAGGGCTGTATTCAGTATCCAGTTTCAATGCCTGGCACTTCTAGTAAGACGAACTGCATGTGGGAAGGCTGGGAAAGATTTCTGCCAGATATTGGAGAATAGACAGGACTCTGTTAGCTGTGCCAATCCTCTGACATGCTACAAGGGACATTCATGTAACTGTAGAGGGTTTTGGATGTCATTGTGATCCTGCATCACAAGCAGAATATGGATAAGTTCCTGACGCTGGTCGTCTTCATATCCACTTCTTCAAAGCCTTCTTCAACAGCCTTTCTCCAACCCCTCTCTCCTGGCAGTAAATGGAGTTCCTTGGCCCCAAGAATCCACCAGGCGCAACAGCCATACCTTCAACTGCAGAATGCTGATCCGTCCCCCAGACGAGCCAGCTGCAGAGAACCAGGAAGCCCGCCAGCGTTATGAGATCATGCAGTGCTTCACGGTGTCTCAGCCGAAACTGATCAAGGAGGAAGGTGAAGGTAAGACAGAGGAAAATAGTGCTAGCTTGTGCTGCATTGCATTTCTTGGGGGGGGGGGGGATCTGCAAATTGTCCTTGATTGTCCTCTTGCAGAATGTTTCTTGCAAGGGGATTGCACCTCTGCAAAGATTCAATTTCTCCCTGCGGCATTTTCTGCTGTTGGGACTCATGATGCCTGCAGCTCAACAACCAGCCTGCAGGTTGCATTTTTAGGTTCCTGAGAGGAATCTTTTGATGTTGGTCCTGTGGGGATTGTTTGGGGGATTTGCTTTAGTCTCCCAGTTCCCTCTTCTTGGAGTTTTTGTTCTTGCTTGCTTGTACGTGTGATATAATGCTAATCTGCCATCCTTGTTTAACTTTGCGTTCACAACCCATCTACGCAGCTTTCATCGTAGATAACTAGCCTGTACTCGAGTCTCATGCAGGTCTAGACATTGGGTTTTGTGTGCCATGTCCCTCTTCAGAAACTGGATATTTTCTGTGTTGAGTTGATTCTTCTGTTAACAGCTTCCTCCCCTGAGGGAGCGAACTAAGGACTGATTTATACCATACAAAAACCTTGCAGCTGCCAGGGGCCCAATTCTGACTGGGACCATGCTGTTTTCCTGGTCTGAAACAGCCATTTGCTTCATTAGGAAACTTGCATGTAATGTACATCTGAGTTTCCCAGTACAGCAAACAGTGGCTGTACTGGGAAATCAGAAAGGCTCGGGGGAAGGCTAAAGCCCCTCCTCCATATGTGCTTTGGTCCTGACCAGGACTGGGGACCCCTGCATACCTGGGAAGGACAAAACTCCCAGCACATGTGTGCTTCAATGTCTTCAAGGTGTCTGTGAAGGTTTTGTATTGCATCAACTGGACCTAAACCAGCAGACTAAAAAGAAAGAAACTGGGCCTTTGTCCAAGCATCTCACCTTAATGATTTGGCACTAAGTGCGAAGTTCAGGGACATCCCACTGAAAACAGCCAGCATTATGTGACTTGGGAGAACCTCGTCATCACCCTTGCAGAGGTGTGAACTGTCCTTCAGTTGCTGCCCCTGAGGTTGCCTACACTGAGCTAGCATGGGCAGGGCCAGCCCGTCATAGACAATTTTTAGGCAGCAGCCTAGAGTGGCCCCTTAAGAGGGGGCGCCCTCCGGCCTGCCGCCCCTCCCCTCCCTCACCGAAGGCGCCGTGGGGAGATGCCTGAAGCCAGCCGTGCCTGTGGCCGCCGGCGGAGGTGCTTCGCTTCACAATTGCAGGCTGCCCTCTTGCCCCTGTGCCTCCGGCCAGCTGGCGGGGGGGGGACTCCTGGTGTGCCTGCCTTCGCCGCCCCGCCGCCTTCTTCCACTCTGCCCCCGCCACCACCCCAGGTTCTACCTCCGCCACGCCGCCCCCGGCCCTCCAGGGCCCCGCTGGAGCCAGTCCCGCTGACCGGCCTCCAAGCAGGGCCCCAAGCCAGGCCAGGCGAGATTGCTGGACCAACCCCCGGCCTTAAAGCAGGAACGGGGACGGAGGTGGTGAAGGCCGGGTTGGGCACACACAACAGGCGCTGGCGGCTCCCCGCGGCCAAGGAGCAGCTTTCCAGAAGGGGGGGGCGCCAGAAGGTAGCCTCACCTAGTGTGCAAAAAAAACTGGAGCTGGCCCTGGGCATGGGCCCATCTGTTCCAGAACAGAAGTAAAAGGCAAGTGAGGAGGTAGACACAGGCCCCACAGGAGGAAGAGGAGCAGCAGCAACAGGGGACTGTCTTTGTGCCAATCTGGTGTTCCTTTAGAGGTAGCGCTCCTAGTGCTTGAAATGGAAACGAGGCCCAGGGTCCCAGAAGGCCGTTTGCATACGTACACCTTCGTTTTCCTAGTTGTGAGGGTAAGGCGATGTTGTCTTTCACATCATGGCGCACCTCTGTGTTTCCTGATAATTGGAACGCTCCTGTGGCAAGATTCTCTGTGCTTGTTTCTCTAGCAACAGCCTTAAAGTACCACAGTCCTTTGAATTATAGTGCAAAAAAGAGTTGTTTCCAGATATGAGCTGAGATGGGTGAAAACTTATTGGAAGGTAGGGAAGCACCATCCCCTCAGGTTCGAAATCTGGGGCATTCTAAATTGCTTTCCCTCTCCAGAGTGATCACCCCTGATTTTCCTCCAGCATCTCTCTCTCACATACCCGCTTGAAACCAGGAGCACTTGATACATACTGCAGATCACTCAAGCAAGTGTGAGTCTGAACCTCGCACCTCCACGGGGTATCCATAACCTGCCCTGATGCCATTCCTAGCAGATCTGAATCTTGGATTGAGGTCTTCATGCCTATCTGTGCTCTGGCGCAGCCCCATAATACAGGAGAGACTTTCCCAGCAGAACACTTTGGGCTCGTTTCTCCATAGCGGCCATTTCGTTCCAGTGCATTAGCTGAATTAATCCATTGCCGTTTACACAGGAGATCATGACTGGAAGGAATAAATCATGGAGGGGATCGGGGTTATGAGCAGATACTTCTCCCGGAGCTGATAGTTGTTGGCTTTCGCTACAGCCATTATTTTATAGCGCTGCCAGATCCAAATGGCCTCAGAATTAATTCTCCCAAACTGTAGAATGAACACAGACACCATGCCAGTCCTAGTCCTTCTTCCCCAGGCAAACTTTCTATACACACTAAACTAGTGCAAAGGGTTTAATTTATCTCAACAATGCTGCTTTTCATTGCAGAATGTAGAAAAGACATAGGCCTAGACTTGGCTGTAGTTTTTCTCGCAAAGCTTGGGGGTGGGGTGGGGTGGGGGGACAAGCTTGAGCTTCCTCCAAACGAACAAAGATTGAGTAGCTCAGCTGGGCAGCCTTGCTTTCACCCTAAACATGGAGTCAGGAGGCACAATTGACGGGCAGGTTCTCCTGTGCAAAACCCGTCCTCGTGCAGCAGTTTCCTCCCTCCCTCAGGCTCCAATTCTCTAAAGGTGCATTTTGCCCCAGTTTGTTAACTGCTTAGTGTCCAGCTTTTGGAGTGGGTTATCGAGAAGATGAATTCCACATTACAGATGAGTCCAGAAACAACCTATGCTTCCTTTGGCAGCAGCCTGCACCTCTTCTGGAGAGTCTGCATCACTCTTGGAGACCTGTGATTGAGAGTCACGGGAGCATGATGTGATGAAGGGGCAGCAGTGTGGATGGCTAAGCAGTGGTGGAGGGAGAGTGGACGAAGGAGGTGGTATGAACCAGGAGCCAGGCAACATGGTGTGTGTGTGGGGGGAGCAGGGTAAAAAAGTTGAAGGCACAAAGTGGGAGAATTTTTCACAAGTTTCGCGAGTCTGTAAGAAAAATAATCTCACTGCCTTATCCTTCTCACTTCCAACTTTCTCATTTATTTGATTGTGGCAGATTTGCAGTCCTGTCTGATATGCATCGCACGAAGATTACCTCGAGCCACAGCCTCTACCACTTCAGAATCTTTCATGACCAAGCAAGATACTACAGGTATTATTCAGAAGGGCAACCAGATGCTTTATTCTAGAGAGCTGGGATGGGGATTCAAGTGTTCCTATACAGTAATATGTATTTAGGGCAGAGGTGTTAAACTTATTTGTTATGAGGGCCGGATCTGACATAAATGTCACTTTGTCAGGTCGGACCATATGTGACATAAAATGTAACACAAGGTAGTGGAGATATAAACTTCATAAAGATGATTTCAGATGTCAAATGGCAATAGCAGGCATGGCATGACTGGATTAGGTGTGGTATGCAGAGGGGTAGTAGGCATGGAGATATCAGCATTGGTAATGAGACTGGAAACCTAGGAGGATGCAAAGAATAAATGGAAATAAGTCTAAAGAAGTGAGCAGTGACTCACAACAGCTCATACCCTACCACAAATTTTGTTAGTCTCTAAGATGCTACTGGAGTCTTACTAATGCTATTAGAAACCACAGCATTCAAAAACCATTGGGGAACATTTTAACATTCCAGGAAATTCAGTTGCTGACCTAAGAGTAGCAGTTTCAAAGACGTTTCAAAGGGAGATTAGAAAGAGAGACTGCTGAATTGCAACTGATAATGAAGCTCAAGACAATGCATCCTCCTGGACTGAATTGAGACCTAGGTTTCTTCTCTCATTACCAATGCCTGCTTATTGTCATTTGGCGTCTGAAATCACTTCACTCACCAAGATATAAAGACAGATGGACTCACATTCTAGTTGTATCTGAAGTAAGCAGTGACTCATGAACGCTCATACCCTGCCACAAATTTAGTTAGTTGTTAAGGTGCTAATGGATTCTCACTCCCTTCCACTTATAAAGATTTCAAGCTGTGCTGTTAGGTTTCTTCCCCCCCCCCAATCTGTTAGAACTGGAAAGGGGGATATCTCTGCCTCCCCCCCCCCAAGAAGTGTGCGCACAGAAAAAAGCTTATACCTGGAATAAAACTTTGTTGATCTTAAAGGTGCCACAGGACTCTCCCCTTCCCTCCCTCCCTCCCTAAAGGAGGGGGGGTCGCACTCAGCCAGTCAAAGGAAGGGAGGCTTGGCTTTCTTTTTCTCCTCTGTGAAGCAGGAGAGGAGAGAGCTGGCCGAAAGTGAGCTGTGATGCAGGAAGCAGATGAGAGCCTGTTGCTCATTAGTTGGATAGGAGCTCTGCAGGGGCCGGGGCTGGCCCATGGGCCATATGTTTGACACCCCTGGTTTAAGTTTTCAGTTTTTAGGTTTGTTGGTTATAGGTGTGGACTAGAGAGTTCTCTGTAAAGACTTCATAGGAAAGGTGGGTTTTCACAGGAGTTTGACAAGGAGACTTGGTGGCACCATGGCAGTGTTCTGGATAGAAGTTCTAGGCATAGAGGAGATGGAATGGAGTTATTTTCTGAGCCAGAGGCAGTGAGGTGGTAGAAGGGAACTCCTTGAAGTCTGTTGTGGAGTAATGGTTCAAGTGTCTGATTAGGATCTGGGAGGTTCAAATCCCCACTCTGCATGAAAGCTTGCTTGGTCACTTTGGCCCACTCCACACTCTCAGCCTAACCTACCTCACAGGGTTGTTGTGAGGATAAAATGGAGGAGAGGAGAACAACATAAGCCACTTTAGGCTCCCATTGTGGAGAAAGGCTGAATCAAGAAAAATAAAATAAAAATAAAATAAAGCCCTGACAGGTGACAAGGGTAGCGACAAATGAAGGTCCTGTATGGGACTGAATGGAATTACATGAGCAAAAAAAAAAAATTGGGTTGGAGACTGAAAGGCCACAAACATAAGAATGGGGAGTTTGAGTTAGTTATGGAAAGAGACTGGGGTTTTGTGTACAGGTAGCCCGTAGATGCTTAGTAATATAAGAATGAATATATAGCTGCAATTTTTTTAATTTGTTTTGCATTGCTAACATGGCTCTTTTCCACTTCCCTCGATCAGGTAAAATCATCTCCATCGACACCAGTTCCCTGAGAGCAGCAGGGCGGACTGGCTGGGAAGATTTAGTGAGGAAATGCATCTACGCTTTCTTCCAGCCTCAGGGCAGGGAGCCATCTTACGCCAAGCAGTTATTTCAGGAAGGTAAAAAAAAAAAAGGCTCCTCTCTTTGCATGCTCCTGCAATTGTTGCTGGGATAAGTGCTTTCCGGACTGAATTTTTTTAAAAAAGCCAATGAAGAAGACAAAGAATGTTAACAAAAGAAGTCCAAAGGAAGTGGCTGAAATGGCTGAGTAATGCCTGTGACCCCTTCAGCTGGCCAGGGGAGCTTGCCCTGCACAGTCAATAGAATTCCAGCAGGCTGCCAATCATCTATCTGCACTGCTGTGGCAACCTGGCCCCGAGGCAGCTGGCCTCCAGTTTAGGAGTCGTCTGCCAACCCAGAAGCATTCTTACCGGCCTTTCAGGAAGTGAAAAAAAACCCTGAAGTGCACGATCCAAGTTGTTGAAGACTGTTACCCCCAAGGAGGGGGTGGCAAGGGCCTAAAGTTTCTTAAGAGACATAGCGATGACGTGTTTAGATCCTTGCACCAAGAACTGGTTCAGACATTCAGAACAGAGTGGTAGTGTGGTGGCAGAAACCGGAGGAAGTAATGTACCACACCTTTTCAGACCATAGTTGGGGGGTCTCCAGCTCTGAATTTTCCTTTGCTTAAAATACTCTGTGTAAATAGGAAAATAGACTCTACTTCCCCTCTGTCTCCTTTCTCCAAATTTTCTAAAATAGCGGAGCCATCCCCAAATGTGATCTTCCATCTGAAACAGTGCAATCAGTTCCATCATTTCTCTGCCACATTGTTCTGTATGTGTGGACCAGGCCTTGACCTGGGAAGATCAAGGTTCAGATCGTACCAACCAGAAAGTTCCCTGAGTGACCTTGGACCAGTCCCTCTGTCACTCTAAGCCTTTACCTACCTCATAGCATTGTTGTACTGGTAAAATGGGAAGGGAGAGAGAGCCATGTTCCCCCTTGTCTGCTGGTCTCACTATAACCTGTACCCTGAGATGGGAACCAGTGGTGGGAGGACTGATTTGGGTAACATTGACTGAGATCTACATCACAGGCAGCACACTGTGCTCCTCCTAGGACAGAGCTGAGGTGGGTGTGATCCTGTGTTATGGGGCTCCCTTGGTTCTTAAACACCAGTCTAAAGACTTACTTACTGCAGCCTTTTTGCAAATGTATGTATCTTAAAATCTGCCCCGGTCTTCATTTTATTGAGCTCCTTTCCTTTCCTTTCCTTTTATGAAATGTTGCTGCCTGCTGTAGCTTTGAATTGTTTTATTGATTGCCTGCTTTAAAAATCCGCTGTCGCCTAAATGTTGTTATCTGGTGGTCTGTTTAATTTTGATTTGATTTTTATGGTTTCTTCTGCCCACTTTTAACCCATTTTATTATTATTTTTACCATGCCCGCTGAGGTTGGTCTATTTTTACAAGTCTGTTAGTTTGAACTTAAATGTTTTATAGTTTTAAATTATGTTGTAAGCTGCCTTGTATATGTTTTAAGATAAAATGTGTGGGAAATAGCTATCTTAAATAAATGTTGCCGTAGGAAAAGTGGGGTAAAAGTGCAATGACTAATAATTAGGGGTGGACTCTTTTTTGCATTTATATAGTACTTTTCCTAAGGGCTTGAAGCTATTCTCATACATTGTAGCAGTAATACCTGCAAGAATCCTGCAAGGTGGGCCAGTACTACTATACGCCCATATGACAAAGAGGTCATCTGAGGCTACGAAAACTGCAACCAGCCTATCCATGAGTGTTCCCTTCCTGGATTTTCCTTGAGTTCCTTCTGGACTTCTGGAGGGTTTTAATTTTCTCGCTCAGTACTTAATTCTTAGAAGTTTGGATCCTTGACTGCTTTCTGTCTTCCCTACCCCCCTCCCTTTGGCTCTTGCAAAAGTAGTCCACGGAACATTGATTGGTTGATTGGAGGGGGGGGGGAGATTATATCCTCCCCTTTCAACGCTCAGAGTAGTTGATAACAATATATTGCAGTTCAGCAACAGATGTGAAAACCTAAATATATTAAAGGCAAAGTTATCTCAAAATGCAGTGCACAAGCCCTCAGTAGAACAAATCAGATTCATACAAATGAAATCCCAGCCCTAAAAAATACTCCTCCCACCCTCTTTCAAATAACTTTCTGGAGGGGGCAGGGCTTTCTTGAACACCTAGAAGCCCGTTCCAGGGGACCACAGGAGCAATGATAGAGGAAGCTTTTGAGCAGGTGGCAGCAGAACATACCAGCTGTGAGGAGGAGCGCATGGAGAGAGCACAGTTGACGCAGAGGTTTGTACAGGGAGAAGCAACGCTTCAGGAAGATCTTGGTTAAAACACTTAAAGGTAAAGGTAAAGGTTCCCTTGCTCGAAAGCCAGTTGAATCCGACTCTAGGGTTGTGGTGCTCATCTCCGTTTCAAAGCCAAAGAGCCAGTGCTGTCTGAAGACGTTTCCGTGGTCATGTGGCTGGCATGACTAAACACCAAGGCGCACAGAACGCTGTTACCTTCCCAACGAAGTGGTACCTATTTATCTACTTGCAATTTCTTGCTTTTGAACTGCTAGGTTGGCAGGAGCTGGAAATAGAAACGGGAGCTTACTCCGTCATGCGGCAGCTCGGTCTCGAACTGCTGAACTACCGACCTTCCACAGCCTGCAGTTCAGCATCTTAACCACTTGAGCCACCGCAGCTCCTTAGCTTAAAACACTTGCTCATCTACAAATTCTCTTGGATGGGGATTAGGATAAGTGTGTGTGTGTGGGGGGGGGAAGGCTGTTTTCCCATTTGTAAGCTTGCATGGTTGATGGAAGAACACACACCCCAGCCCCTGATTGCAAAACACTGTATATTAAAAGCTCTGTAGAAATTATTAATAGTGATGGTAATGGATGGCAAAGCATCCCAGCTTATGAAAGCACCTTCTCATTCTCCCCTCGCCCTCTTTTTTCCCCCAGTGATGACACGGGGCACAGCCTTCAGCCCACCCTACCGGTTCACACTAAGTGATGGGACTGTGTTGAACGCCCACACCAAGTGCAAACTCTGTTGCCCTCAAAGCCCAGAGATGCAGCCTTTCATCATGGGCATTCACATACTTGAGAGAATTGAGAGGTGAGTCTTCATAAACTCCCCCCCCCCCCAGTTTTGTTGATTGCTACTTGTTTACCTTTGGGGGGACTCACTTCACACATGACTGTTTCCCTTTGCAGAGATCATCTCTTGGTAGGAAAATGTGTAACACGCATGTTAAATGAGATGCAAGTCCTGACGAGAGGAGGCTGTCAGTGCGTGTGCACCATGAATGTGCAGACTGAGCCATTGTCTGCATGTGCTGTAAGGCCACCGGTAGCAAGTAGAGCACAAAACACGGGCCCTTAATGCTCATGGTCAATGCTCCCTCTAAGCTGTGGAGTCTTGAGAGCAAAAATTCTACTTTGTGAGCAACTGGCATTAAAGTTGTGAGCAAGCGATTTGGCTACTGCGTAAATTAGTTTGCTCTGGAGCCATCCTTCGTGAGCTAAGACCAAAATGTGTGAGCCGGAGGCTAAAAAACGGAACTCGCTCACACTAACTGAGCTTAGAGTGAACACTGCTCATGGTTTAGATCCATGTTGGGAGATTTTTAAGTGTTCAGTCTGAAGAACTTGGGTGATCCCTGTAGTTGTGTTGAGCCAACCTCTTCAGAGAACTTTGACCGTGGGCAAATAGACCCACAAGTACAATCTCAAGTAGGAACAGAAGGACCTTAATTCTGAATGAAATTATTTGGACACCTCCAAAGAGTAGTGGAGAGAGGTTTTCTTAATGATTTTGGCCTTTTCAGTATCTTCCCTCTCCTCCCAACCCTTAAAGAATCCTTTCTCAACCCACTTCTTCAACCACTGTACCATGGAATATTTTCCCATGGTATGGTCCATTGGGCCCCAGGAGAGGACACAAGAGGGCCGGGTAACTGCTTCTTCCTCCATTATTGCTTTTAAACCACCTGGGGGAGCGTGTAGTGCACGTGGGAGACAGACAGTAGTTCTTAGATGAGGTGGAGAGATTTGAAGGCAGTTTGGAAAAAGCTATTGTTCAGAGTGTCTGTTCCCTCTAAGCTGAGTTAGTGTGAGCTAGCTCACAGTTTTTTAGCCTCCGGCTCACACATTTTTGTCTTAGCTCAGGAAGGAGGGCTCCAGAGCAAACTAATTTATGCAGTAGCCAAATCACTCACGCACAACTTTAATTCCACTTGCTCACAAAGTAGAATTTTTGCTCACAAGACTCCACAGCTTAGAGGGAGCACTGGTGTCTATATAGGGCTTTTTTCTGGGGGAACATGCCAGAACAGAGTTCTGGAACCTCTTCAACAAAATTCTTTTTAAAATGTTTAGAAGTTCATTAGCTTTCAGTATACAGATTGAAAACTTCATTTCCCTCTTGAGAGTTCCTGCACCCCCCCCCCAAAAAAAAAAGCCCTGTCTATGCCTGTCACACGTTTTCTTCCAGTAACCAGGTTTTGGAAACTTTTGGCACTGTTTTTGAAACTGATGGTCAAGTGAGGGACAAATATATCTTAATACAATGGCTGTTGTAGGTTTTAATGGAGGCTTTCCAGCTAAGGTGGTCAACCTCCAGGTGGGGCCTGGAGATATCCCAAAATTATGGCATTATACCCTACTGAGGTCCCTCCCAGCTTCCTCAGACTCCACCCCCAAATCTCCAGGAATTTCCCAACACAGAGTTGACAACCCTATTTCTGTCCCCTTGTGAAGAAAAGAAGACCTCAGGGCCTTGAAACTCTGGGAACTTGATAGTGTGTTCATGGTCCCCTTACTAATGCCTTTTAAACCATTATCTTAACCCAGCCTTTTCACAGTCTTGGAAATGAACAGCTTCAAGGTCTCTGCTCTCTCCCTTTCAAACCCACTACAGCCAGTTTACTGGGTGGGTAGAGGGGTTGTGCAGTTCATGTGTCCAGCTGTACAAATTAGTCACTATTTTAGAAAAACAAGAGAAGAAAACATGTTTGGATAAGAGCACGCCAGAGGTGAGTGATGCCACAGAGAAGGGGAGATGTGAAATGAGAGTCTGGTCTCACCACCACCTCAAAGAGAGGCTTTAGCTGATCTAGATTCAAGTCCCGTCCACATTTGATGAAATGTTGGGGTTAATAGAGAAGTTCAGGCAAGTTACAGGTAACCAGAATGACTCTTTGAACCCTCTCTGTGTTCAGCATTTAAGATTCCTTTTGTGTAGAACGCTGCCTCCACTGAAGTGGGTCTGGAATGATTCTCGCAGAGGCCTGCAACATTGTGTTGGAATTAGCCATCAGTGAAACTTTTCCTGGGACAAGCCAGGAGCCAGCAGATATCTCGGGTCCTGCTCTCTGATCTTTCCCAGAAGTCCATGTGGATGGCCAGTTCCTTCATAATGTTTATCACAGGAATTCCTCTCCCCCCCCCCATAAGAAACAGCTAGTTATAAAAGCACCAGCCTCTTAGAGATATCACAGGAATGCCTCTCCCCCCCCCCATAAGAAACAGCTAGTTATAAAAGCACCAGCCTCTTAGAGAAGGCAAATGTCTGACCTTCTCCTTTTGTTGCCCTACCGATCACCTCTTTCTTTTTCCTTCTTGACCCAGAGAACACAGTGCGCTGTCACCTCAAGACAACACTAACTCTGGAGTGCCGCTTTCCCGCGTGAGTCCCTCGCTGAACCCCAACATCTCTCCAGGACAAGGCATGGCCCTGCCCTCTGCTCTCCCTCCCACCAATGGTAGCATGTTAACAACCAGCATGAACCACCTGCCCGGGTCCGGCCTGCATGGCAACAGCAACGTCGCCACCAGCCAGCCCAGTTTTGGATGTTCACCTGGGAGCCAGATGGGAGCTAACGTTGCCTTAAGCCAGGGACAGGCCGGTCCCCAGAACAGTAACCATCCACTGAACCTCAACAGCTCCCCCATGAACAGTCCAGCGGTCACCCCAACACAGTTCATGTCTCCCAGGCATCGGGTAAGCCCCGGACTGGTCCATAGGCCCAGAGTGCCAAGCAACCCTTTCTCCCCCACTATGCCTACCACGCACTCCCCGGTGGGCATGGTGGGCAACTATAGTGCCAGCAGTACGGTCAGCAGCAGGCCTTTCCCGGGAACCCCATTAAACTCCATGCAGGGGATGAATGAAGGGCCCAGTCCCCCCATGGGCTACTCCACGCCCCCTCCTGTCCTGCGGCAGCTGAGCAACCAGAACTCGCCCAGCCGAATGGGTATGCAGCCCATAAAGACTGAGCCAAAAGACAGCAAGGAGATCAGCTCCATCCTGTGCGACATGATTCATTCTGACAGTGCTCCGAATGAGAGCAAGCCCTTGGAATCGGGATTGTTGCATAGCAGTGAGAGACACTCAGAGGGTGACAGCAAGTGCTCTCAGGCCCCCAGCCACAAGCTCGTTCAGCTCCTGGCTACCACGGCGCAGGAGCAGTTACGGCACGCGGACGCAGACACCAGCTGCAAAGAACCCTTGTCCTGCACGGGGGCCTCCGGGAACCCTGCGGGCAGCGCGTGCCCCTCCTCTCACAGCTCCCTCACAGAGCGGCACAAGATCTTGCACCGACTCCTCCAGGAGGGCAGCCCTTCTGACATCTCTACCCTCTCCATGGAGCACGACAAGAAGGACAATGCACCTGGCGGAGCTGCCGCCGCCATCCCACCGCAGACCCAGACCCCAGAGACCCCCGACATGAGACTGGAGTCGGATGCTGCGAAGAAGAAGGATCTGAAGGACCATCGGCTCCTTCGCTACCTGCTCGACAAAGATGAGAAAGAGCTGGCAGCCAATCCCTCCCTGAGCCTGGACGATGTGAAGGTGAAAGAGCAAACAGACCAAATGGATCCCTGCAATGCCGCTTCAGCCCCACTGGCTAAGCCCCCTGCCCAGGAGGAGGTGAAGCTGCAGCAGCAAGGCCAGGTAGGTGCTCCTGTTGGGAGGCCCTTCCTTGTAAGAAAAACTCAGAAACGTTGTTTTGGACTTGGGTTGCTGGTTCACAATGATGTTCCCAGAGCACAGTTGGGCGGCGTGGCTTAGCTTTGATAGGTGTGCTCAAAATGCACTCTTGGGACTCTTCACACGCTCCCTCTAAGCTGTGGCATCCTGTGAGCGAAAATTCTACTTTATGAGCTACTGCCATTAAAGTTGTGAGCAGGTGATTTGGCTACTGCATAAATTAGTTTGCTCTGGAGCCATCCTTCCTGAGCTGAGACAAAAATCTGTGAGCCAGAGGCTAAAAAACTGTGAGCTAGCTCACACTAACTCAGCTTAGAGGGAACACTGGTTACCCTTTGCATGTACAGGAGCCAGTACTTCCATTCAAGTGAGCAAAAGTATTAAGGTAGCCCGAGGCTCGTGGACTGACATGGATATCTGAAAAGAAAGGCAAGAACAGTAATTTTTCCATTCCCTTTATCATGCACAGTCCAGAGGTAGGCATTTCGGGGGGGGGGGGGGGGGGGGGTTTTTTGGTGTTGCGTGCTGAAAAATGACCGTGTTTGTCCTGTGGAAATGTTGGTTCTTGGCCAGATACCTGAGAGCAAGGTGAGCCCTTGGCCTCATCCTGTTGGGCTTTCTTACATTCATTTTGGTGGGCTTAAATAGACTGTAGTGAGCTGGACGGTAAATCCTGAAATGGGTATGCAGGGGAAGATGGGAGAATGTTTTATGAAACCTCCCCGGTTCCACCAGATAAAGTCATTTTCAGGCGCTCCTGGACTACTCATATTTCCTGGACTGGGGAGCCGATCCTGACGCAAGTGGGCTGAGCATCTCAAAGGACATTTTCAGTCTCCTTGCCATTTGTTGGCTGGGGATTGGTGGTTTTAAGGCAGCCCGATCTCTTGTAATGGAGTCATTAAATGGCAATAGATCCCCGCACGAGAGATTTTGGTACATAAATATTCATTACCGGTGTCTATGAAGAGTGCCTCCCCTTCAAAAGAGAGTCAGGGAAGATGACAAGACAGATAACGGCAGTTCATCCTTTTTATCAAATAGACCAGAGAGAACTTGACATTCAAGAACAAGCCAGGTAGCCCACTTATAGATGTGTGTGTCAAAATGGGCTGCTGAGTTCAGGGGATAGCTGCAACATGCACACATCCCCTTTCATTCAGTCATTTGGCAATTGCCCCTTGGTGATCTCAGCTCTCTCTGTAACCTGTTGCATAAATACTTTTATTTCTGATGGCATCCATTAGCTGCTTCGCTCCCTCCTTGGATGCCCTGGTGAGTCTCCTCTCCCACTCCACCCTGTTGCCTGGCCACCTCGTCTTTAGGCTGCAAGAGACACAAAGCAAAGAATTCCTGTTTGGAGGACAAAGCTGCTGAGCCAAGTACTGCTCCGGTGGGCAGCTTGTAAATTGTTCTCTTTGGGCACAGCACAAGGTCGGTTTCCCTTGCTCCCAGATGGGTTGCAGCACTTAAACCAGGAAGCAAAGAGGTGTCTTTGGAAAGGACCTTGGGGGACTACCCATTTCCTCAGGTACACAGCAGGAAAGGCAGCCAAGCACACTGCATGGACTCCCTCATCTCTTCCAGCCATGTGGACCAGAAGGGACTGGGAGGTCTGAATGTGGCTTTTAAGAAGCACGTTCAGTTCCTGACCTTACCTGGGAGAGAAGAGCTTGTAAGGAGCTGTGCTTTGACTTAGCTGGCCATGTGTTTTGCAAAACCTATTTTGTGAATCCTAGAACCCGCCGAGTGGCTGAGGTCTTTTAGTGAACTTCATATTGGTCTCTCAAGCTCAGCTGTTGTACAGCTAACCATTACTTACAGCAACCTAGTTTGGGGGATTTGAAGAGAAACGGCCACAAGGACAGAGTTAGGGGAGAAATGGCTGTCATGCAGATGGGGCAATCTGAAGTTTCCCACCCACTCAGCAGTCATCCGAGGGTTTACTAAAACTTCAGAACAAAACAGGTTTGAGAGACACTGGAGAAAAAGCCAGCAAAACCCCAGGAAGTGCATCATTGCACCATGATGCTGTGGGGAAGCGGGGGGGGGGGAAGCCCACTTCCCGAACGCATTGATCTGGGGCAGAACCCATGTGGAAGTGGCCTGAGATTCAAGGCAAATTACACAATAGGAAACGATGCAGTAGGAACAACGTAGTACATAGAACCAGCAATACAGTAAAACTGGGTCATAGAATTAGAGAATACTGCACTCAGAACACAATAGAATGCGGACAATGAAACAGGATTGCAAGACTGGAGGGAGACAGCACAGTGAAATATTACATTACATACAATAAACTGTGAAAGCCGGGTGATACAACAGTACCATGTTTTCTGGCTGTATTTCCGTCTGATTGCCTTATTGTTATCACATTCCTATCTGAAGTACATTTCTCAGTCTTTTCCCTTTGTTGGGTGAGTTTCTAAATCGGGGATCTTGTGTCAGCGAAGAGACAGAGGGAGAAGGAGAAGGGATGAAGTAATCTAAGCAGACAGGGCTGTCTTTTGCAGTTTTCCCTGCCATACTTGAATAAATATAGAGAGAAGTATGAAAGCTCAATCTTTGGGGAAAGATCACCTTGAATGTGAGCAAATCAGATGTAGCAGCCCTAAATCAATGCCGCTTAAAGGGCACTTCTTTTGCGGGCAATTAAAGGACTAGTGCATTGAGCGGACCTGTCCTTCCCAGCAGCATCAAGGCACAAGCGCTCCTTTTGCTCAAGAACGAGTTCACCCAAGTAGCAAAATAGTTCTCTCTGTATTTCAGAAGCTCACACACTGTGTGTATTTAAAAATGGAGTTTTGTGACATCAAAAAGACTTAAACATTTTATCCTAGGATAAGCGTTTATGAATTACTAATTTTGTTGGGGGGGGGGCTTGGAAATTTAGATTTTTTGTGAGTGTGTGTGTGAGTGCATGCCTGGAAGTCATGGTTGACTTCTGGAGACCCCTAGTGGGGCTTGGATGTTTCAGAGAGGTGGTTTGCTATTGCCTGCCTCTGCATCCAGGCCCTGGTATTCCTTGGAGGTCTCCCTTCCAAGTACATGCCAGGGTCGGCCTTGCTTAGCTTCTGAGATCTGATAAGATCGGGCTTGTCTGGCTATCCATGTCGGGGCCAGAATTTTTTAAAAAGTTTTTAATTATCACTTTTTACAAATTAGTTGTCACTTCAAAATACTGGCAGTTGGGTTTCTATAGATTCCTACCCCATTACCCCAACCCTCATTTTCCCTTACTATAGTTACCATTGATGGACCAGTAATTATTATACTGAACCATAGGTGGGGTATCTCCTTCTTTGGAGGTTTTCAAACAGAGGCTAGATGGCCATCTGACAGCAATGCTATGCTGATTGTGTGAACTTAGGCAGATCATGAGAGGGAGGGTGGGAAGGGTTGCCTTAGTGCTTAGTTCTTGTGGCCCTTTCTTATACCCCCAGGGAAATGCTGATTGCCACTTTGGGGTCAGGAAGCAATTTTTCTCCAGGCCAGTTTGGCCCCCAGGGATCCTGGAGATCCTTTGTCATCTTCTGGGCGTGGAACAGCAGTCACTGGGGGTATGGAGGGGGAGACCCCTTCCAACTCTAGGTTTCTATGATTCTACATCATAGTCCTAACTAAACATTAGGCACAAATGTGTAATGAAGCCCAAATAATCCTGTTCTAGAGAGAGAAGCCAGTTTGGGTAAAAGCAGTTTAGAGCAGAGAAACAGCAGAAGTAGATGAGTGAAACTGCATTTTCATTCCAAGTTGCTTCACTTTTCTCACTATGGGGGTTCCAAACACATGTATACTTTTGAACACATGCCTTTGTATTGCCATGGGAGGAAAGTGGCCAGGTGGGGAATTGTTGGGAACAGAAGCGCAGCAAGTAGGGAAAAGCACCTCCTCCACACTGTCTGCAGCTCCTCTACTTGAAATTGCCCCTCTGGATGCATCTTTCATTCTCCCTTTTTATATATATAAAAAGGCCATAGGGGTTACGTGTATTTGCACGTACTCTTCCGTTAGGCTCTGAAGGCCATAGTGGAAATGTCACGGTGCAGAAGGAGCAACCGATTTCCCTGTTTTTGTCGCCCATCATTAACAGAATGCACACATTTGTTTTTGCGAACATGGCGGATGCCAAACTACAGCTGGTGGACATGGCTATGCTAGCTCTGCAGTAGTCTTATTCTGAAATCGTTACCCTTGTGTGCCTGTGAGGCTGAGTCAGCCTTTGAAACATCTTGCTATGTGGGTGTGAGAGCTGAAATCTCTTGTTTCCAAACAGGGACTATGTCTGCTCAAAGTAAGCTCATCTCCCCTGGCAAATGTTTTCACTCCCAGGACATTTCTGGATGTTCACTTTCTCAAGTCCCAGAAGTGCTATCGCTTTCAAGATCGTACTGTAATGAGTAGTTCTTCTGTACTTTTCTTTCTGCTACATTATTATAAAGGGCTTATCTGATCCCCCCTGCCCCGATTCTTCCAAGCACTCTGTGTACTTTCATCAGTCTTTTGCAGCTCCTAAAGTAGAGCTCTGTACTCTGATGTAGCGCTGGACATTGTGAATGTACTTGTGGGTCCCAGTTCCTTCTTGGCATCTCCTTCTCTCTTCTAGTGCCACGTGTGACCCATCAGCACTGTTAGAGAAGCCACGTTTGTTAGGCAGACACCAACTTATGCCTGGGCTTTTGGGGTTGCCTTGCAACTCCTGCACTGTAAAAACTTCCAAGATTGTTTCTAATTAAGCACTGCTTGCAATAAATAGTTACCTGTGGGGGAGAGCAAAAGGTGAAAGCTAAGTTGAACATTCTGTACAATTTAGTATTCCTAAGCAACGGGACTTCGATTGGTTCATAACGAGTAGGAGTAGCATTTAATGGTAGCTCTGTTTGGAAGGAACAATCTACCCGTGTGTTGAGTCTGGAGACAAGCAATTGTTTTCCCCTCTGAGCATGAAGAAAAATGCAAGCACTGTCATTGCCTACAGTGTGCATATCTGTCCCACTCTCTGGGCATAACTGCATGTTTTTATAATGAGTACATATGTGACACGAAAAATGGCAGCCCCACATTAAGGTTTCCTCTTTCCATGATAGTGTGTTAGACAGCTTGCTTTAGACTAGTATGCATGAACAGATAAGCTAGGGGAAGAATGTAGACCATTTAACTTTTGCAGGCCTGTTTGCCAAACTGACCGGCCTCAGGTTGTGCTGTTGGTAAGCTGAATGTTTCTCCAGTGATGGGGCATGAGGGTGGGAAAAAGTACCAGCTAACAGGACTGAAGCATGATGCTACATGTTTGGGGGAGGCATTTTCTGGGGTGGCCCCAATTACATGTATATATCATGCACTTCTGCCTTCTCCCATAATAAAGAGGTTTTGCAGTTTTTTTCAGCACACCTGAAAAAGTGGCAGTTTGGTGTAGTGGTTAAGTGCGCGGACTCTAATCTGGGAGAACCGGGTTCGATTCCCCACTCCTCCACTTGCACCTGCTGCTGTGACCTTGGGTCAGTCACAAGCTCTGGCACAGCTGTCCTTGAAAAAGAGCAGTTTGTGTCAGAGTTCTCTCAGCCCCACCCACCTCACAGGGTGTCTGTTGTGGGGAGGGGAAGGGAAAGGGGTTTGTAAGCCGCTCTGAGACTCCAAGTGAAGGGCAGGGTATAAATCCAATCTCCTCCTCCTCCTCCACCTGAAAAACTTTATTTGAACAACTGGGTATCCTGTTCGGTTTTCTGCTTGGTAGTGGCACTTGTGTGGGAGGGTTGCTGCATCCCCCTTCCCCTGTTCAAATGATGAGTTGTTTGTTATGAGGATAATCAGGGTCTTCCCTTTGAGGCAGTGCATTTATTGTTCACTGTAAATACTATGTAGAATGTGTGGCCGTACCAGATTTCAAGAGGACGTTTTGGAGAGTGCTCCTCTGTGGCTCATCACTAGCAATGTTGCAGGCACAGTTCAGAGGTGGTTGTGGCACCAGACCAAGATGAAGGGATTAGCACTGGTCCCTGATTCCCCTTCTGGCCGTGGCTCAAAGTCTGACCTGTGTCCTTGCCTTCTTCCTTTAGTTTGCGTCCGACCTTGACCAGATCCTGCCCACATTGGAGAAAGCGGTGCAGCTTCCCCCAGGTCTGTGTGGCCCAGAGACAACTGAAAGCGGAGGCCTTGCTGGCAAGCCAGAGATCATGCCCTCCTCCCTCCAGCCCAGTACGGCAGCAAGAACGCCCACTGGGATGAATGGTACGTACCAACACCTTTTTTTTAAAAAAAAAATTCCTGGGAACTGTTTCCTGTCTTTCTACAATGCCAGAGAATTTGCTCGTAGTGCTGCAGTTCTGTATCTGACACAACCTGGTTAGCTGTTGGTTGAGAACAAGACGACAGTGGAAGCTTCCCTGAGACCATGCGTACCCAACCCCACCTCCTTTCATAAAATCTGATTTGACAAAAATTCTGGGTAGACTTTGTCAGCTGTGTAGCATGTGGGTTTAAGGCCACCAACGTGGCACCCACTGCTGCGTTTTCTGCTGTTCACCTGCTACACTGCTTCCAGACCCTCTCTGCACTGCTTTGCTGTCCTGTTCAAAATAAAATAGGAGTCCAGTGGCATCTTAAAGACTAGCAAAATTCCTTTCAGTGTAATCTGGGGCCACTGGATTCCTGCTTTTGTTTTTCTGCTCCAGACTAATGCAGACTGCCCATCTGGAATTGTCCTTCTCGGATTCCCTTCTTCTCTTTGTCCTGCTTCACCTCGTTCACACTCCTTCCTTTTTTGCAGTTTCCTTTGCCACCTTTCTCACTCCTCCCTTCCATTACCTTTCTCTGCCGCTCCAAGTCTCTTGAGTTCTTCTGTCTTTAACCCTACCCCAGACCACTTCTCCAGCCAGCTTTGAGGTGTGTACTAAAGGGTGGGGGTACGGGTGGCGGCGGGAGGAAGAGAGCCAAGCTACAGCCACCTTCCATAAAGCCCAGACACCAGCCAGAGCTTCAGGATTCATAAGAACATAAGAGACGCCAATGTTGGATCAGGCCAAAGGCCCATCCCGTCCAACACTCTGTGTCACACAGTGGCCAGAAATACCAGGTGCCATCAGGAGGTCCACCAGTGGGGCCAGGACATTAGAAGCCCTCCCACCGTTGACCCCCCCCCCCAAGCAGCAAGAAGGCAGAGCATCACTTGCCCCGGAGCCCCTATCTATACCTTGTGGCTAATAGCCACTGATGGACCTCTGCTCCATATGCTTATCTAATTCCCTTTTGAAGCCGTCCATGCTTGTAGCCGCCGCCACCTCCTGTGGCAGTGAATTCCATGTGATTCACAAGCTTGGCTCCTGTTTGTCTTCCTTACAAGCATGTGTTTTCCATGATAGGACTTCACCCCAGTGACAGCTCTACCACCAGCAGAAAAGAGGCTGGTGGGGAGGGCCCTGCTGTATGAGAGGTGAAAGTCATCACAAAAGAGTGTGAAGAGACAAGGATAGGAAGAGGAGAACGGAGCATTTACGCCTCCCCATCCTCCGCCAGAGAATATTGGCCGCTCTCCTAGCACCTGCTTTGTCCTCAGTACCCTTCAGATGCACACAATGCACATATATACATACCCAGAATAAAATTCACTGTATATAAGCCTGGGGAGTTCCTATTATTGGCTTCAACTGGATTCTTCTGTCAGAGTCCCCCATCCTGCAGACTTGCAAGTGGTACATAAGTCCCTCCAGCTCAATTTATTTCAATTAGATATATAGTAGGCTTTGGAAATTACAGTATTTTTATTTATTAATTCATTTAAAAGATTTATTAGGCACCTTTCTTCTTTATAGGACCTCAAGGTAGGAACTATTACCTGAATGTTTTCTTGGGCCCCGTAAAGGTAAAGGTTCCCTTGCTTGAAAGCCAGTCGAATCCGACACTAGGGTTGCGGTGCTCATCTCCATTTCAAAGCCGAAGGGCCAGCGCTGTCCGAAGACGTTTCCGTGGTCATGTGGCCGGCATGACTAAACACCAAGGCGCACGGAACGCCCCTTACACGAACTGAAATATCCCACCCCCACCCCCAATAGCTTCATTGAATCAAAATAGTTTCCCCCCCCTAATGTATGGGTAGAGAGTTAGGATTAGGATTTGTAATGGCACCCACTTTCCCTTCACAAAATTCCAAGTGGCTACAGGTTAAGCTAGTCTGGGGACTCCTCGGTTAAAGTTTTTAGTTAATCAAATCACAAAGTTGCCAGTTTGTGGCTCTTTTGCAGTAGCATGATCAACGTCTTTCTGCCTCTCTGCTGAATTCCCAGCCTGTAATCTCTCAAGCCTATTATTTTCTTGCCAGACACTGACACTCCTCCTAAAGACTCAGAGTGTGGCAAGGAAATTGGGAGCTGAGCTACAAGCTGGATTTATGGCAAAGCAGCTATGTGAACATTTCACCAGATGTCGAGCCCACTTGCTCACTGCTCCAGTCTGGCCACAAGCCCAAGTGCCGCTGGACTTGGCAGGGACACATTCCAAGTATAAACTCAGTAAATTAAGTCAGCCCTGTAAATAAGTCCAAGGAAGTTACTAGTCCGGTTAGTTAATTGTGGCCTTTGAAAGAGAAAGAAGACTCAAGTTTGGTACAGCTTCTTTACCCAAAGTCACCTTGCGTACCATAGATGACTAGGAAGTGACTCCTTGCAAATATGGCTTGCGTATCATTTGCTCATAACACAGAGGTTCTTATTTGGAACCGGGTTTGGTATAAAGTTGTCTCCCCCTCCCTCCCCATTCTGCCATCAATTTTTTCCCTGCAACTCTAGACCACTAAAAGGACTCAGTAATAGGGAGGAAGTATTTGCTGGATTTTGTCATTGTTAGAGAGTACCTAAAACAGAGGATCAAGAGCTTTAGACATTCCCACTGATAGCCGTGAACAGGAAAGCAGACCTTAAGTCAGGAGAGGAGATTTCTGAATCCCAGTGCGGTTTGTGAATGACAGCTATACAGACACAAGATGCATTAAAGAGGCAGGCTTTGGCTTCTAGCGGGAGCCATCAGATGGTGTGAAAAGGGAGCTGTCAGATCCCTAATTGGACCAATTGACCACTTGTCCCATCACCTCTCTGCTGAGTCCCATTCTCCCCCCCCCCCAGAAGACATGAGACAGCTGCTTTTCACTCAAGGCTATTATTTGCGTTGTGAAGACGTTTATTCACAAGCCTGAAATACCCGCTGCCTTAAGGGAACCTGGCATTAAGGCCATTCCGGAGTCAGTGACATGTTATGACAGGACTTAATTGCCTTGGGGGAGTCAAGGATGTATTAATAACGATACAGAAGATTCCTTACAATAGGCAGTCAATGTTGTATTGATTACAGAAAACAAGAATTACAAGATGGGTAAGGTGATCACTTTCTCCTCCTCCCTCCAATTGGAGTGTCTCCTATTCAATAAGGCTCTGAGGTAACATGGAAACAAGCTGCTGTTGGAGCTCAGCGTGGGGGTGAATCGGTGCAGCTGGTTCTGAGCAGAGGATGAGGCTTCATCATCAGGGCATTCAGCTTTCATGAACCCCTTAAGGCAATTCTATTAAATTCGCAAATGTGGTGAAAATTTGAAATTCTGGTTTCTGACATCATTCAAGATTGGTTTTCAATTGTGAGATGTTTATTAAAAAACAAACAAACCATAATTTCGAGTCATAATGATGGCAAGCCATTGATGTGACTGGCGGTTTGTGGTGGAAAGTGCCGTTTAGTCGCAGCCAGCTAACGATGACCCTGTTAAGGGGTGATTTACTGTTGCCTGCCTCTGTGTAGCAATCCTGGACCTCCATGGTGGTCTCCCATCCAAGTACTAATCAAGGCCGACTTATCTGCTTATCTTCCAAGACTGGACTAGCCTGTGCCATCCAGGTCAGAGCAACAGGACTGATTTAGGTGTGTTGTGTGCTGCTTTTTCTTGAACCCCTAAACAAAGATCTTCCGTCACTAGCAATATAAACAGAATTAAGTTGAATTAGCATTTCTGTCCCAAATGGGTTTCAGCATGTACTGTGAAATCGGTTTCTGTATTTTAGGCTCACAGTCTCTCTTGTAACTACAAGTGGCAGTGGACCAAGTGGTTCTTCATTGCGTTAAGAAACCTTCATTGATTTAATTTTGCTGACAGACTTCAGAGAGGAGTGCCCTCTGGTGGAGGTTCAGGCCATGGAGGAGCCTACTAAACAATCTGAAATATCTTCTTCGTGGTCTCTGTGCATCACACCCTTGGGATACACTGCGCCTGCGCTGAACCTTCTCGGTACCGATAGCTAGCAAAAAGGGATTTTCGCGCCTCTCCCAGGTCACGCGCCGGCTCCACTGCGCATGACCAAGGAGGGGCACGCAGATCCCGCCAGTTCTCTTCTGACCGCCGCGCTGGTAGGACGCCTTCTGCCTCGGTCTGCTAAGTACCAAACTTTTTTTTTGCTAAACTTGCGTTTAGTTAGTTTCTCTTTCTTTATTTTTGTAGTTAGCATTTTTCTTCGGTGTTTGTTCTTTACTTACGTTCCCCTCCCGCTGGCCTATGGCCCCGCGGTGGGGTTGTTTCAAACGGTGTAGGACTTGCGGCCTTAAAATATCCCCCACCGACGGGCACTCGCTTTGCCTCATTTGCTTAGGGGAGTCGCACTGTGTCTCTAAGTGCAGACATTGCCGAAAGTTTTCGAATCAGACGAGAAAAAACAGGGCAGCTCGTCTACACTTGGCCCTGATGGAGAAAGCACTATCTCCACAGTCCTCTTCACCGTTGGACACGTCCGGGCACGCCTCGATGTCCACCTTGGCTGCGGACACTTGTCCTCCCGTTCCGGGATCATCGACGTCGACGGTCGCAATCGATGCTTCGGCACCGAAACGATCGACGCCGATAAAGGACCACCCCGTACCTTCCAAGATCCGGAAGCAGGGGTCATCCGTTGCCGTACCTTCCAAGATCCGGAAGCAGGGCAAAGACTCACAGCAGTCGAAGAAACCTAAAACGGACAAACCCAAAGTCCATAAGGTTTCGGCTAGTCAGGGTCGAGATCCCACGCAAGAACCTCACCCGATCGGTTCGGATCTCGACATCGACCTTACTCAACAAACAAATCAGTCGCAATCTGATATGTCGAGCCGTCAATCCTCTCATGCCTCCCCAGAACGTGGAGTCGAGGATCGGCACCGACCAACATCTCCTCCCCTAACTTGGGATGAGAGGCAATGGCATTATTTGTACGGGAATCGATACCCATACCCTTGGGCACTCCCGATACCACCCCCACCTGAATGGGATCGTCAGTCGGTGTCATCCCGCATTTCGCGCTTTCAAGATCGACCATCGGTATCGAAGCAGTCGATACCGACGCATCCACCAGACCCGGTTGTGCCCCCGATTAACACACCGGCACCGTCTCAACCTGAATTACTCGAATCATCTCCAGAACCATCCAATGTATCCTCCGATTCAGATGGCTTTTCTGAACATATCGAGGATGTAGATGCACAGCCCACCTCGCAAGATGTGGAAGCGGATTTACCTATTTCTCCATCAGAGGATGTTAAGTCTTATGGAGATTTTATTCAACGCATGGCATTAGATCTATCTATGACTCCTACTCTCGTTGCCAGTTTTGTGGATGATAACGTTTTTGACATTATGCACTCTAACACTTCGCCCTCCGTGGCTCTACCAATGACAAAAGTTCTCTTGCAAACTACCAAGGACTTTTGGACTCGTCCAGCCTCCATTAATGTCTCTAATAAGCGTCTGGATCACATGTACAAGGTCCAGGAATCAGGGGCTGAGTTTTTATACACACACCCAAAGCCCAATTCTTTGGTCGTCTCCTCATCCACAAAAGGAAAAGCGAGTCACTCTACTCCCTCAGAAAAAGAAGGGAAAAAGTTGGATTCGGTTGGTAGAAAATTCTACACTGTCGGTGCAATGGGCATTAAAACGGCGAACTATGCCGCCTGCATGGGCCGTTATCAATTCAATTTATGGAAGCGTTTGAATGATTTCCTCCCGCACGTGCCCAAAGAGTGCCAACCTCAGATTAAAAGGATTCAGAATGAAGGGATGGTCTTGGCTAGACACCAAATTAGTGCTGCCAAGCATTCCCTGGAATCCGCTAGTAAGACTCTAGCAACCTCTGTAGCGTTACGCAGACATGCCTGGCTCCGCTCTTCATCATTGCCATATGACACCAGATCCTCGGTGGAAGACCTTCCCTTTGAAGGTTCTGGATTGTTTAGCTCCACCACTGACACGGTTCTGCAGGAAATGGATAAGAGTATCAAGACGTCCAAGAGTTTGGGGATCTCCCCCACGACCAAATACTCGAAATCCAAGCAGTGGCCTAGGCAACCTTGGTCGACCAGGCAACCGTACAACAAATCACCTACGGATCAATGGCAAAGACCTCCCTCCTCTCAGTCACGGTCTTTTCCCCCGAAAAATAAGGGACAATCGTCCGGTGCCTATAAGTCGAAATTCCCTAAGAATCCCAAACAGGGACTTTGACTTCAACCTTACTGCTCAGACTCGCCTTGCACCCTTCCTGCACGCATGGCTCGCCATTTCTACGGACAAATGGGTGCACTCTATAATAAGAGATGGCTATCTCATAGAGTTTTCTCTGACTCCCAGAATCTCCCGTTTCATCAGAACCCCGGCGTCTCCTGCCCTGCTACAGGAGGTACAATCGCTGACACAAAAAAACGCTATAGAGAAAGTCCCGATGGCGGATTGTTGCCGCGGGATTTATTCCAAATATTTCACAGTCCCCAAGAAGGACGGAGGACTTCGTCCAATCATGGACCTCCGTTTTCTCAATCGGTTCATCATTTACAGAAAGTTTCGCATGACCACGTTGCAAAGCATTTTACCACTCCTGTCTCCAGGGACTTGGATGGTCACTTTAGATCTCAAAGACGCTTATTTTCACGTCTCCATCCATCCTCGTCACAGAAAGTTCCTCAGATTCGCAGTCGGGGAGGACCATTACCAATTCAAAGCCCTTCCATTCGGGCTCTCTACCGCCCCCAGGGTTTTTACGAAGGTAATGGTGGTTGTCGTCGCTCATCTTCGCCTTCAGGGCATTCAGATCTTTCCGTATATAGACGACTGGTTGATGGTGGCAGATTCAAGAGAATGTCTCCTTCAGCACATCACCATCACATTGTCGGTCCTATCCTCCCTTGGAATTCTGGTGAATTTACAGAAATCCATGCTGCAACCTGCAACTCGCGTGCAGTTCATAGGAGCTGTCATAGACTCCCTAGCCACTCGGGCGTACCTTCCTCGCCAACGGGCAGATACCATTCGTCTGGAAATTCAACGTTTGTTCCAGTCCAACGTGACATCAGCGGTCCACATTCAGCGGACCTTGGGTCTCATGGCAGCCACCACTTCCGTGATCGAATATGCACGCCTTCGCATGCGCCCGTTGCAGCTGTGGTTTCTAAAGAAATTTCGCCCTTCCATCCATCCTCCGAGCCTTCAACTGGTAGTGCCTCCGCAGGTCCTCGTCTCCCTGCAGTGGTGGCTCGTGGACACCAATCTGTTGGCGGGTGCACCGTTCCAACCGATCGTTCCCGTAATGTCCATCACCACAGATGCCTCCCTGTGGGGTTGGGGTGCTCATACGGACGACACTTGTGTGGGTGCTCCATGGCAGCCCCTTTGGAAACGTCATCACATCAACTATCTGGAACTGCTGGCCGTAAAATTTGCCCTCAGATCCTTGCACAAACAGGTTGCAGGGAAAGCTGTGTTAATATTTACGGACAATACAACTGCAATGGCTTATATCAATCGCCAGGGCGGGACAGTGTCCAGATCCCTTTGCAGGCTAGCTATGGACATATGGGAAGAGTGCCTTCATTGGAACATCACTCTCCAAGCTGCCCATCTGCCAGGAACTTTGAACCAGCAAGCAGATTTCCTGAGCAGAGGAGGAGCATCGGACCACGATTGGGAGCTGAATTCAAAGTATCTCCTCCCTCTTTTTCAACGTCTGGGACATCCCCACATCGATGTTTTTGCAACTCGATTCAACAAGAAGTGTCCCATGTTTTGTTCCAGAGCGGGGTTGGACCCTCTGTCACTGGGGGACGGCCTGTTGATATCGTGGGCTCACAACTTTCTGTACCTATTTCCTCCGATTCCGCTGCTTCACAGGGTGTTGGTGAAAATACAACACGACAAGCCCCATTGTCTTCTAGTAGCCCCCTGGTGGCCTCGGCAAGTTTGGTTCCCGACACTGTTGAGGTTGGCCAAGGGATCCTTTGTACACCTGCCGCAGGAGTTGGATCTCCTCCAGGCTCAGGAGGGCCAGGTCCTTCACTACGATCCTCTGAGTCTCAAGCTGACTCTGTGGGAAATACGCTTTCAGTGATGGACGCTCGTATCAATGATGTCTTGTTGAACTGTCGTAAACTGTCTACTCGGACTTCCTACACAAGGAAGTGGAATCTATTCCTGCAGTATTTGAATTCCTCAAATCTACCTCCTCCGCCAGTGGATTTGAGGTCTATTTTTGCATTTATTTTGTCCAGAATGGACTTGGGACTCAGTTTTTCTTCAGTTAAGGTGTATTTAGCTGCGGTGTCAGCTTTTCATCCATCTGTTGATGGGTTTTCAGTTTTCTCGCATCCTCAGACGAAACAGTTTTGTAAAGGTCTTATTCGCCTGTACCCTCCCCGTCGTCCTCCAACCCCGGCCTGGGATTTGGCTTTAGTTTTGCGTTTTTTGATGGGAAAACCTTTCGAGCCATTGGCCACTTGCTCTCTAAAATTGCTGTCACTCAAGACTGCGTTTTTGGTGGCCATTACCTCTGCTCGTCGGGTCAGCGAATTGTCTGCTCTGAGGTGTGATCCACCATACTTAAGTTTTTCCCCACATGGGGTTTCATTGTCTTTGGACATCTCCTTTTTACCGAAAGTTGTTTCGGAATTTCATTTACGCTCAGATATAGTTCTGCCATCGTTTTTCCCGTCTCCTGCTAATGAAGAGGAACGGAAATTGCATTCTCTGGATGTTAAGAGAGCGTTGTTGTTCTATTTGGGCAGGACTAAGTCTTTTCGCCAGTCTCCAGCTTTGTTTGTTGCTCACAGTATGCCCTCCCAAGGGAAGAAGATCTCTTCCCAGAGGCTGTCGAGATGGATTGTGGAGGTGATCAAGCTATGCTACGCTTTGGCTAAGAAACCTCTTCCAGGTCAGCTTCGCGCCCATTCTACGAGGGCGGTAGCAACTTCCACAGCTTTCCTGCGAGGTATGCCGTTGGAGGACATCTGCAATGCTGCGACTTGGGCTACTCCGCTCACCTTCGTGAAGCATTATGCCCTTGATGTCCGGTCTACTCGTCGTGTGGCGTTGGGTCGGTCTATTTTGCAGACGGCGCAGGTGTAGGGCCTCGGCCCCTCCTCCAGGTAAGAGTTATTGCTTGCTATTCTCCCAAGGGTGTGATGCACAGAGACCACGAAGAAGATAGACAGGTTGCTTACCTGTAACTGGTGATCTTCGAGTGGTCATCTGTGCATTCACACCACCCGCCCTCCTTCCCCTCTGCTCTCGGCCCTTCATCTTGTTTCTTTGAAGGCTGTTGGGCGGCGGTCAGAAGGAACTGGCGGGATCTGCGTGCCCCTCCTTGGTCATGCGCAGTGGAGCTGGCGCGTGACCTGGGAGAGGCGCGAAAATCCCTTTTTGCTAGCTATCGGTACCGAGAAGGTTCAGCGCAGGCGCAGTGTATCCCAAGGGTGTGAATGCACAGATGACCACTCGAAGATCACCAGTTACAGGTAAGCAACCTGTCTTTCTCTTCGGTCCACTGAAACTGTGCAGTTGTTAATTTGACGCAATTTTTGACTATTCAGTTCCTGCCTTTCCCCCCTTTATTAGAGGAAAGATTGGGGCGGGGGAGACTAGGGACCAGGAGAACACTATGCTGTCCTGCATGGACATTTTATACTTTAATTGCAAACTTGTGCATTTTAGCCAAATCCTTCTTGCTAATTGCCCTGACAACTTCCTTGGCGTTTGTCAGCATCATTGCTAATTGCCTTGACAAATGCCAAGGAAGTCACCATGATCCTTTTGCTATTTGCTGAACTGTATTGTATTCTCTGTTATATTCACCATATTTCTAGCTGTTAACGGTGGGCAGGGAATGCAAGCAGGCCGGTCCTCGTTTGACTTCTGCGACTCCATGGAGCCAGTTCAGCTCAGGACAGCGCCTTTCCCTGCAACAAACGGCAACAGTCCCCATCCTGGGTTACCATCCGAGCAGACCAGGGGGGCAGTACCTGGACCAAACCCCTTCCAGCCTGACACAGGTACATAGAGTCAACAGATGCACCTTTCCCCAGTGCATGCTTATTTATTTAAAATATTTATATTCTGGCTTATTTCTTTAGACTCTGTGGAGCTAAGAAGGCAAGGCAAGTTGCAAGGTCACAAAAACATAAGAGTCCATTAACAAACAACAACTTGTAGATTAAAACCATAACCAAATCTGCCAGAGCAGCTTATCTGCCAGCAAATGCACTCTGAAAGAGAACTCTCTTGCATGCCTCTCAAAAGGCAGCCAGTGAAGGTGCCTTCTGCACCCACTGTGGCAGGCTGATCCTCAGGACTGGACCTATTGGAAAGAAAGCCTGTGACTCAGTTGCCGTATGGACAATCCTAAAATAGATAGGGCACCACAAGGAGAAGGCTGAATGAGGAATGTAACTGGCATGTTGGGAGTATATCAGAAAGTTTCTGTAGTGCTCTCAGTTTACAGAACTACGTATTATTCACTCAATAGCCCTTTGAGGTACGTTGGCCTGAGAAATAATAACTTAGGCAAGTGAGCTTCATGGCTCAGCAAAGCATTTTAACCTGGGATTCCCACTTCCAAGATAGACATCTCATCCACTGTGCTGCACCATACTTCCTGGTTTAACCCATCACATGCTCAACCTTGCTAGGGAAGGAGTACCCTGTCCAGTGTTCCCTCTAAGCTGAGTTAGTGTGAGCTAGCTCACAGTTTTTAAGCCTCCGGCTCACACATTTTTGTCCTAGCTCAGGAAGGATGGCTCCAGAGCAAACTAATTTATGCAGCAGCCAAATCGCTCGCTCACAACTCTAATGCCAGCAGCTCACAAAGCAGAATTTTTGCTCACGAGACTTCACAGCTTATAGGGAACATTGACCCTGTCAGCCCAACATTAGTTCTGATGTGTAAGCGTTGCCTGCTGGCTCAACCTTTCACCCTAACAAAATGAGAGAAGACGACAGCTGTATTGAGAGGCAGCAAGGAAAGCATCTTCAGTGTCGGAACTAGAAACATTCTCAACTTTCCAGTGGCACAGTTGATTTTCTCTTCAGTGTTGTGCAAGAATATTGCAAGAGGTTAGGAGCTTTATCTCAGTGCTGGCACTTCATATGTGCATTAAATCCACTAAGATTTGTTTATTTGCTTATTTTGCTATATATTTATAGACTGCTTTTTGTAATGTCAGTTCAAAGCAGTTTCGAGACCTAAAAAGTACAGTAAATAAATGATTAAAACTCGCATTCTAAACGCCATTAAAAGAGCCAGTGTAAAAACCACATTCAGCCAAAGGGCCCTCTCGCCTCTAGCTGGCTACTTGCCGTGAAGGAAAGGACTCTGGAACGGATAGAGCCAGTAGTTAAGGAGCAGGTGTGCCAGACTAGCCAATGGGCTTTGGCCTGCAAAATCTTTTCCTGCTAGACCTAATAAGGTGCTTTAGCAGCTCGCAAAATGATTGCTCGTGGGAATAAGATAATTTCCCTCTCTGAGCATTTAGCTTGGCTTCTGCAACCAGTAAACTTTATAGTTCCACTGTTCCTCGGGAGAGAGAGAGAGCACAAGACAGACAAGTGCTATCTGTGTGTACCAGAATGAAAGGGCCATCTAGCACAGCACTCTGTCTCTAGCTGTGGTCAGCCACATGCCCCTGGGATGCTCTTGAGCAGTTTTGGGCCTCTCGCGGTGAGGAAATGAGCTGCTCTAGTATGTAGGTGCTCTGTTCACATGGTATGTGCCTTGTTGCCACAAATAGACATGGCCTCATTATTGGGCAGTCCTCGGAACTCAAGGGGGACACTGTTTGATCGTGCCTGTTAGAATGAAGATCTTTGAGCAAGCATGAAAGTAGAAAAAATCAGGATGTTTTTCATCTGAGGGTCCCTGTATCTGGGTTGGTTGTGGTTACTAATTCCACCTCACATAGTCAGCAGTAGCATGGAAGAACAACCACCTTCGGCAGACACTGAAGAACATGATTCTGGCTTTCCCGTGTGGCACATTCCCGTGCTCAACTGGAATCGACAGTGTGGCTCCTTGCGCTTCCTTTATTTTCCTGTTGCCAGGCAACCTTAAGGACACTTCATTGCTGTTGCACAGTCAATTCAAGGAGACGGGGGCGGGGGGGGGCGCCTCTCGCAGGTTGACTTTGTCATCCGGTCCATTAGCTGGGTTTAGGTTTTCTTAATCTAGCCAATGGGGCGTCAGTGGGAGGACCCACCCAAGGGCCAGTATACTCAAACCTAGGCTGTGGCTCTCAAACACGTCAAGCAATTACTTTTTTTGTCTGTGTACATAATCCCTTACCACTAAGGAACCACTGCCACTCATTACTCATCTAAGATGAGGAGGAGGGGCTTCTGGTACCATTTCCAAGCCCAGCAGAGGCCCTACCTTGAAGAAAATTGTGCCAGTGCATTTGAAATGCCATTTGAGGGGATGGACAAGCCTCACCTATGGGCGCAACCCGCCAGGACATCCTCCTGTCTGAGCCGAGCCCCATCAAAGTAAATGGCAGGAGCCAAAAAGCCCTTGTGTAGCTCCCATTCATTTCAGCCAGGCTTGCACGGGAGAACTTCCCAGTGGACTGTTAACGATATCTGATAGTAGAGTGAGTGTGCCCTGTCCCATTCATGGAAGCAGCGAAATCAGGCCACCTTAGAAACGAGGTTAGGGTCTCTGCTAACTCAGAGATTTCAAGTGTACCGGGGGGGGGTTAAATAAAGCAAGAGAGCCCCCCCCCCAGTCTGATCAGGACTAAATAAGCTTTCAGGAGCATAGAATGTTGAGAGCAGCAGATAACCAGTTAAAGGGAAACCAGGGAGGAGGGAAATTAGCTTTCTGAATCCCTTAAATTCTACTTGTGCCTTTTCAACTGGTTATGATAGACACAGGAAACACATCAAAAAGAATCAGACTTCTTTGTTAATTGCCTCATTTCACCCTATAGATAGACTTGGAAGAATGAGTCCCTTAGACATGAACATTTAAAATCTCTTGCTAAAGAGGAGACCTTCAAAAGGTTTTGGGGTTCTTCACAAGTAACTTGTCCTGCACTACTTACATAGCCCAGTCACTGTTGGTGTCAAAAAGCCAGACTGAAAGGATGATGGTGGGAAGTCCATTAATGGATCTTCTATGATTTTTTTAAATATGAGATGAGAGTGCTCCTCACAGTTAGGAAGTGGGGAGGCTTTCATGGATCCAGTGCAACAAATGAGTATAGAAGAAGAAGAGAGAGGATTTATTCCCTGCCCTTCACTCGGAGTCTCAGAGCGGCTTACAATCTCCTTCCCTTCCTCTCCCCACAACAGACACCCTGTGAGATAGGTGGGGCTGAGAGAGCTCTTTCAAGGACTGCTCTTGAGAGAACAGCTCTGAGAATTGTGACTGACCCAAGGTCACCCAGCTGGCTGCATGTGGAGGAGTGGGGAATCAACCCCGATTCTCCAGGTTAGAGTCCGCCGCTCTTGACCACTCCACCAAACTGGCTCTGTGATCCACAGCATCTTCTCCACAGGCATATCTTCAGTCAGAATACTCCTTTGTGAAAACACAACTAGCTGGGCCTGTGATCCCAATCCACCCATCTCCAGAAATTTAGAGAGAGAGGCCTTCAGGCTCCCAGCTTGGTAGGCCTCTCTTGCTCCACTTAAGCAAACTGTGAATGTGTGGCTGCATGGGACACCCTTCAGTGCATGATCATGCTGTGCTTTGACGGTTACCTGGAGGGGACAGGAGCTCAAGATCAGCCTGACCACTTCAAGCAATCAAAACCACTGCAGGACAGGGTCTGCCGTATCTTTAGGGACACCAGTGGAGCAACCTGTGTGCTCTTTTTCCCCCCTGTCCTGAGCTGAGAGTTGCACCACCTGTAGCATAAAGAATCCTGAAGCACATTTCATGGAGTGTGGGATGAGGTCTGCTTGGAGCAGAGATATATACACTGGTATAAGGGGGGGGTGAGACCCCTTGTTGGTTGTTCATGCCAGATGATAATGTTCCCCCACTGATTTCCCTCTTATTTTCATTGTCTAAAAGTTGCCCGGGATGGCTACCACTTGAATTTAAATCAGGTTCTGAATAGTCGGCTCTCCTGATGTTTGAGCCAGCTTTGCTAGCCAGTCTCAGCCACAACCCTCCATATCTCCCTAGAGTGTTCTTGCATTCTCCCATTTTGCCCCATGACCGACTGGATTCTCTTGCTTGGGTCTGGCTTGCTCACAAACCATGCCATGTAACATTGTCCCCCTTGCCAGGATTACCTGAACTGGAACTGGGTGTCACAGATCATCAGTTTCGGCCGCCAGAAATGGGGGAGCAGATCCCATGGCCAGATAACTCCATGACCTCCATCAACCGAGGACCTATGAGCAAATCAGATGAGTAAGTACAGAGCTTTGGGTGTTGTTGCTGTGCTTGTTGTCATTGCGAGTGATCCAGGGCAGGACTGTGGGCACAGAGGAGCACTGGAAAAGGAGCAAGGTGTGACTCTTGACGGTGGAAAGTGCCCTCCAGTTGCAGCCGACATGTGGCGACCCCATAGAGTTTTCGAGTCAAGAGACGTTCAGGGGTGGCTTCTCATTGCCTGGTGGTCTCCCGTCCAAGGACTCACCAAGGCTGACCCTGCCTAGCTTACCACAGAGATCAGTTCCACTGGAGGAAATGGCTGCTTTGGAAAGTGTGCCCTGTGGCATTATAACCCACAATCAAAGTATAAATAAATAACAACAACATATGATTAAAAAAACCAAGTTAAAACAATGAAACAATAGAACAAATGGCAGTACCCAGGTAAAACTCCAGGGCAGTGCTTAATATCTCCTGTAGGATGATTAATCCAATGATATATTTCTGTGGTGTAATTCTGGGGGCAGGGGAGGCCAAGATGGACTCTTTTTTTAGAGCTATTGCAGATTATAGGGACTGCTCACTGTCTGCTTGGTTTGGGTCCACACACAAGCGGCACTTCTCCCCCCCCTGTAAGCAGACCCATGGACTGGCCCTTGCACTTGCAGAACTTTTCCAAAATGAAATGTGTGTCCGTCGGTTCGTCTGCTGGTTCATACCAATAGTGTATGGTAAAACTGTTCCTGGACTTCAGCTTGAAGGCAAGAGCTGGCATGATTGAAAGTTCGTATGTTTTGCTTTTACCTGCCTCCCCTCTTTGAGGCTTTCCAGAAAAGTTGGATATGCAGGCTGGAATGCTTTGATGCAGGGTGAGCCATAACAGGGGTCCGCCTTGGCCTCCATGCCCTGCTGCTTCTGGGGCCTTCCAGGGATACCTGGTGGGCCACTGTGTGAAACAGGAAGCTTGACCACATGGCCCATTGGTTGGGTACAGCAGAGTTGTCCTTATGACTCTGTCACAGCAGAACATTTTTGTTCATCTGTTTAAAACCCTGCCATCTAGTGGCTAAAAGGTTACCCCAAAAAATCTAAACTGGATAGCCCAGGCTAGGCTCAGTCTCCTGAGATTTGGGAAGCTAAGCAGAGTCAGCTCTGGTCAGCCTTTGGACGGGAGACAACCATGTAAGTCCAGGATTACTTTGCAGAGCCAGGCAACGGCAAACCACCTCTTTTTGTCTCTTGCCTTGGACAGCCCTGCAGGGTTCACCATAAGCCAGCTGCAGCTTGACAGCAAAAAGAAAATTGTCTTTGAGCTGGATTGTGGTATTAAAGTAGGCTCTGAACAGAACGCTGCCTCCTCGGCTCCTGGTCTCTCCCCCCCCCCCCCCGTGCCTCCCCCCCCCCCCCATCCACCCTGTTCCTTCTTCCCTGTCCCACTTTTTACACAGTATCTTTCACTACTTCCCCTCACTTAAATTTTGCAAAAGCAATCCAGAGCGTCCAGCCCTTTTTTGTGACACTAGTGGTAGATTAAGGAGACGCTATTAGCACAGGCAGGGACGCACAACGTCTTGAGGTAGCAGGATTTAGTGGCCCGAAATCCCCCTTGCCCATCCCCTCCTGCTTACCCAGACCCAAGCCACGTAAGCTATTTTGGAATGGCTGAGGAGCTCGGGACGCACAGAAGGAGCCCCAGTGCGTGAGCTTTTGAGTAGCAGAGGATCCAGTTACAGGTTCTTGGCCTCGTGCCCCAATTTTCCGTTTGGCAAGCCACCTTAACACTAAAATGGAGAGTGATATGTAAAGCTTGTTATGGCTCAATTGGTTACTACCCGGGCTTTCCCCTGGAGAGCCCTGTGACTGCCGTTTGGTACAGGATCCGTGCTGAACGGGACCACAGGGAGCTGCTCCCTTCCTTCTGCAAAGAATTCGTGCAAGGAGGGCCCACGGCAGGGACCAGCTGCCGCAGCTCTTATGACAGTCCTCTGGAAGTCAGGAGGGGGCCTTTTTATTTCTCTTTCCACTCTGCCTTTTTTGTGGGGGGCTGCTTTTGAGGGGGGCTGATTGTGCTGCATGGAGGGGCGGGGTGGGATAATATAGCTCAGAGAAAGAAACATGAGTAGGTGAGGGAAAAGTGAGATTTCTTGGTCATATTTAACTTTCCTTTCTCTATAAAATGTGCAGTTATTTTAATATCCTTATTCTTTTGTTCAGCCTCTTCTCCTTCCATTAATTAAACCTTTTAATTTCTTCCATTCATTGTTTAGATTGTGAGCGTGTGAAACGAAAATATATTTTGGGGGAGAAGGGGTAGAGGATTAAAAATCACTGTGCTCGGGTTTGAGCCTACAGGGATTGGGGGGGGGGCTATAGAATGTCAGTGAACAAGTGGATTTTAATATCCTGACTCTTCTGGGCTCTCAGGAGTATGAGGGGTGGGAGGTTTCCTTGTGTTGGTAGACAGGAGTCCCTCTGGAGCTGCTGCCTCCATTGTTTTAAATGGGAGAACATGCACCAACCTGTGGTCATACGGAAAAGAACCCCACTTGCACATATTTGAGTCAGTGAAGATACAGAGAATGTCGGCCTTAACCTCTTCCAATTCACCCTCGTTGCAACTGTTCCCTTTTTTTTTGGCATCTTTATACGATGCTTTTTTTTTTTACACCTAAAGGTGTTTTTTTTTTAAGTGTGTCCGTGAAAATGTTATGTGTGAATGTGGAAAAGGCATGTATCCAGAATGAAAGAGAATGCATATATCCTACACAAAAGAAGCTGCAATTGGCTGTAGCTCTTGCTGGAGTGTGTGTCCCACCATGACAAACTCTGGTGTAATGCATGAAAAGCCCTGGAGTTTCAGAGTGAGCTTCCTTCCTTCCTTCCAGAGCAACCATAGATCTACTAGTCCTTAATGGGCCACAAGATTATTTTCTGTGTGCCTCCCTTCCATCTTGCAATCCCTGAATCCGTATGTAAGTGGGAGCCTGCTGTACGCTTGCACGCTTGTCTCTTTGCTGCCCATTATATTGAGCAGCAGCCAACGATGCTTGTCCTGTGACTTCTTAGCTGTGCCCCACAAGCAGTGTTTTGTGTGGAAGCCGTGCCTTGTTACAAACGAGTTCTAAAGACCTCGCTGCATTCTCTTTCACCCTTCTCCAGCCTCCTTGAGAACCTTGTCTCCCCACCCCCATTTAGACATATGCGTTGGCAAGACTGCGCGCAGCTAGATCAGTTCCAGTTACTTACATATGGTGCTCATCTGGGGCCGAGCGAGTAGACTTGCTGACTCCTCGAGAATTTTTGGCGCTGGACAGTCCCTCTTCTCTGGCTCCTTCAGGCTTTCCAGTGAGTGTGGTGCGCCCACCCATGGCACCGCCAGATCCCAAAATCCCATTGACTTATATTAGACCTGTCATCAGGATGTGTCTCATTACACGTTCAAGCAAAAGGAGATTGGAAACAGCTATTCGGGTTGGAGAGAGGAAAGGGGGCGGGGGGATGACAGAAGTATTCTTGTTTTCTGCCTGCTGTTCTTGCTTTTCCCACGCCAGATGAAGGTTTCGCTTCCAGGGGTTTCATACTGTGTAAAATCTAACTACTGTTCCAAGTAACAACAACAGCAGTAATAATAATTATGCCGGTAACAAGCTAGACAAAAGATAAAAACAGCAGGAGAGGCCACGCCCCCCTTAATTTGAAGGGCAGGGGGACCTGGCCAGTGTTTGGCTGCAACGGAGAGAATGCTGCAGGCTTCACAGCATCATTGCAGAGGACATGGGTGGGAAGGGGAGGGTTATTGCTCCATGTCTTGCCACGGAGCCTAGATGAATCAGCCACAGCAGAATGGTGGTGCTGGGCTCTCGTTTGGTGGGCTCTGGGAACTGCCTGGCCCTGTTGACCTCTGGTGCTGACCAAGTGGATCTTGAGACGGGAAGGAGTAATACGAACATATGAAAATGCTGCATAAAGAGTCAGATTGATTATATGGTCAGTCATCATATTGATTACAGTGGACTGGCCATGGCTCCCCAGGGTCTCAGGCCAAGAGAGGTTTCTTTCCCAGGCCTAATTCCAGAGACCCCTTTTTTTTTTTTAGGACATTCCACAAGCAAAATGTGTGCCTACCACGGGGATATTGCCTACTGATTAGCCAGGAAAAGTATAGTGAGAGAGACCAGGGTCCCCACAGACACACACACCATCTATCTCGTGTCCTCCTTTCATGTTTCACCACTTCTGCACTAGCTTTTTTTGCTTCCCTTCTCCTGATCCTGCTTCTGTTCTCTCCAGCAAACTACTTCTCTTTCCTCCTTTGAGACCTTCCTCAAAACCAAATCTCGTCTTCCACAGGACCTCCCTTGTATCCCTTGAGTTCTACACCTTGTGCCGTATCCACTCTCCCCTCCTCTTTAGGCCTCCGTTCAATCAAATGTTGTCCCACCTTGAATTCTGCCCCTTTCTCAGTTTTTATGAGCCCTCTGGGTGTGGAGTTCCACACAGGATGTCGGCATGCCATCAGTGCAGAACAAACAGCAGTAGCAGCAGTAAAGGGATTTGAGCAGAGGCGTCATCTAACACGGCCATAAAAACCACACAAAGACTAACTTGGGACTGATGATGTCCCTGGTGAGTGTTTCCTGCAAACCAGAAGCGATCAAAGATGGGGTGTGTGCACGTGTGTTCAATTTGGGAATTTTTTTGTACATTCAAGATAAAATTATGCAGAGCGAATATTATAATCTCTAAATGTGAAAAACAGGATATTGTAGAGCTAGAAAAGATGCAGAAAAAGGGCAGCCCAAATGTTTAAAGGGTTGGGTAGCACCTTTCCTGTGAGGAGGAGTTCAAGTATTTAGAAAAGGAATGGTAGAGTGGGAGTAGGGGGAGAGAGTTTTATAAAATTAAGTTTTCTCCCTCTTTTACATATTGTTAACACACAAACCGGATTGGCAATAGACTCAGAAGTGACGAAAGGAATCACTACCTTATGCACTATAAAACTACCTTTATTCACCACTGCAATATGTGGTAAGTAGCTTAGATGGCTTTGAAAAAGAATGAGCAAATTTATGACTGTTAATGGTGAAGCCTCCATGCTCAGCGGCAGCTTACCTCTGAGGACCAGATGCTGGAGAGAGACAGCAGGGGGAGCCAGGAATTCCTGCCAGCAAGCCGCACCCCTGTCCCTCTGCTGTTATCTGCTAGCCTACCCACATCAGTTTGTTGTGTGTTTATGAAATACAGTGCAGATGTTAGTTGATAATGCTCCGTGGTCGTTCTGAAATCAACATTGGCTTTGCGCTTTTGGAAATCCTGTTCTCAATTTGTATACAAGAGCACTGATCGGGTTTTTTTTCATTCAGAGGGAGAGAGAGAGACTCTGTTGTGTATCAAGATCGTCTCAAGGCAGAAAACAGGAGGCGTTCCAATGACTCACCTTTCCTGTGTTTGCATTGCTGTCCCTACAGCCAGTGTATTGCTTCTCAGCTGGATGAGCTCTTATGCCCTCCCACCACGCCAGAGGGACGGAATGACGAGAAAGCACTTCTTGAGCAGCTTGTATCCTTCCTGAGTGGCAAAAATGAAAATGAGCTGGCAGAACTGGACAGAGCACTTGGCATTGACAAACTGGTCCAGGTAGGGAGCTGACTCATGTATGTCACTGAGACCTGGTTTCAGTGGGCTTTGGAAGGAGTTCTCAGTATCTGCAAGTCTTGGCCAAATGCGAGGAGGACTAAAAGCACATCGGAAACTGACCAGAACACACTAGCGACCTTGAACCACGTCCTCCTAAAACTTGGAAAGAAAAATCTCTTGTATATCACACTTTTCTCCTGGAAACATTTTATTTATTTACTTATTTATTTATTTTTGGATTTATATCCCACCCTCCCTGCAGATGGGCTCAGGGCAGCTCACAGTTATCAGCACCATATGCCAAGTCATGATAAAACATATAAAAACAGTTAAAACATCATACAATAACAAATAACACTTAAAGTGCTCATTACCATGGTCGTACTTACAAAAGTTTTAAAGGCGTACTATCAGACATAATACTAAACTCTCCATTCAGTGGTATTTCAGCTTCCCACGGTAGTGTGGCTCGATCTCAATGCGGGCCAGCCCCTTGCCATAGATGTTAATATTGGTGGTCGTTGATGGTAGTGGTGGTGGCTCCTAATTGAAAGCCTGGTGGAAGAGCTCCGTCTTGCAGGCCCTGCGGAACTGTGCAAAGTCCCGCAGGGCCCTGATGTCCTTCGGGAGCTCATTCCACCAGAGAGGAGCCGCCACTGAAAAGGCCCTGGCCCTGGTAACAGCGAGCCTGGCATCCTTAGGTCCTGGAGTAATTAGTCAATGTTGTGACCCCGACCGTAGTGCTCTCTAGGGTATGTATGGGGAAAGGTGGTCCCTCAGGTATGTCGGACCCAGGCCATATAGGGCTTTAAAGGTAAGTACCAGCACCTTGAAGCGAATTCGGTATGCTATTGGTAGCCAGTGCAGTGCCTTCAGCGTCGGCCAGATGTGCTCCCGTCTAGGGAGACCCATCAAGAGTCTGGCCACTGCAATCTGCACTAGCCGCAGCTTCTGGATTTGCGACAAGGGCAGCCCCATGTAGAGAGCGTTACAGTAGTCTAATCTCGAGGTGACCGTCGTGTGGATCATTCAACTGGACCCTGATTCCTCTTCATGGAGGGAGCATCTTTGCTAGGGAATTTCCTGCTCCCATGTAGCACCCCATGCTATCCCCAGGATCCTCCAGTCTTTGGGATCTGTGCATGGGACAGCACAATAAGCTTCCCTGGGAGATTTCCACTTGGCGACAGCTGCCGCACTCACAGTGCTCGGGATTGACCCCATTAGCTTTTTTAAGTGATTACACTCCCAGTTTCCTGTTCCATCTTACTTGTGGCTCATACTCTTCTACTTACATTTTAAAAAATGAAATTTTGGCAGTCCAAAAAGCTGATATTATATAGATATTCTTTAATTCTCTCTTTAATTATTTCAGTTCGGTGCAGTGGTTAAGTGTGCGGACTCTAATCTGGGAGAACCAGATTTGATTCCCCACTCCTCCACTTACAGCTGCTGGATGACCTTGGGCAAGCCATAGTTCTGATAAGAGCTGTTCTTGAAAAAGAGCAGTTTCTGTCAGGAGCTCTCTCAGCCCCACCCACCTCACAGGGTGTCTGTTGTGGGGAGGGGAAGGGAAAGGAGTTTGTAAGGCGCTCAGAGACTCCGAGTGAAAGGCGGGGTATAAATCCAATCTCTTCCTCTTCTCTTCTTCATTTATTGCATCAGCTTTGCGTTGATTTATTATATATTGAACATCGTATCAAATTGAAATAAGTTTGGGTGAACAACTCTATCCTTTACAGGAATCAGTAATCAAAGGGGATGGATGTGTGGAGTGGCTAAACTGGATGCAAAGGAACTGGGGGTGAAACAGGCACACACTCACCCCCCACCCCCCACGTGCCAGTTTCAGAGGCTTCTATAGACCCAGGGCACAATCCAGAGGAAGGTGCTTCAGTTCAGCTGCCACTGAATTCAGCTGAGCACTTGAGCTAACTCAGATACCTCTAATCTCACTGGCAATTGAACACTTGGCTTGTGCTCTCTGCCTTCATCTTTAAAAGCCTGTTAAAATTGTGGGTTTTAAGGTCTTCCAGCATTTTGTTTCTTTCAGTGATCACCAAATGGGAAGAATCAAGTAGAACTAGATTATCTGAAGCAGTTTCAAGGGCCTGAGGACTGCTAAATTGTTCAGCTCTTTGGAAATGTGGCTTCAGCTATGATCTTCTAGGAAGGCTTTTTGCTTTTTCATCCTCATCTATTCAGGGGCTTTCATTTTAATAATGCTTCGCTGTTAGCGTGTTTCAGTGTTGGAAACATTCTGTGTAGATCACTTCAGTGGCTCATACAGCAGCCTGGTAAGGTGGGCCTGCACTACTTACCACCACCACCCCCGTAGTGTTGGCGAGATAGAAGAAACAGTGGGTTGGTGAAGGCCACCTAGTGAGTCCATGGCCAAGGAAAGATTTGAACTGACAGCAACTGAAATACTCCTGCTCAAAGCAGATTTCAAGAGTCTACTCATTACATCTCTTATTTTTAAGTTCCCCAAAAGTAAATTTAAACTCAGCAGAGCACATAACCTCACAACCTCACGAGAGGAGCAACCTCAGGTTCTTCATTTCAGACATCTGAGACATAAACCTAAAATGTTAGGTGTGAGTGTGAAAAATAAATTTTTAGTTGCACTTCTGGTACATTCATTATGGAGGCAAGGTTGGCTGTGGTCTCCTTTCCAGTGCCTGCATTGAACTGTGCGTGATTTGATCCCTGCTCAACAGCCCTGAAAAACATACCCTGAAGAGTTGCAGCTGTATTTGAGAGCCTTCAAGTGCAGCACACAAAATGTGCTGCTAGTTCGTTTAGGTTACTGTGTTGAGTCTCAGGAAACCTCACACCCCTTTCCCTCTTTGAACAGGGAGGTGGTCTGGAAACACTAAGCGAGAGATTCCAGCCACAGCAAGCAACACCACCACCACCCCCTCTCGTGATGGATCAGAAGCCTGGCATGTATCCGCAACCTTATTCCTCGGCGTCTCCCACCACCAACCTCCCTGGTCATTTCCCGGGCATTATGAGGCAGAAGCAGCCTTTCAGTCCCATGCCCGTCCAAGTCCCGCCACCCCGTGGGGCCTTCCCCACCAACATGGGGATGCAGCCCCGACAGGCTCTCAACAGACCTCCAACAGCACCCAACCTGCGGCTGCAGCTGCAGCAGCGGCTCCAAGGACAGCAGCAGGTGAGTGTACAGAACTGCTTGGCCGGTCCACAACCCAGGCTTTGCTTCCAGGGCCCCACTGCCCTTCGTGTGGCCGGGCAGAGGCCTCAGTCCATCTTGCTTGGCAGCCTTCCAGTTTCATTCCCATATCCTGAAGGACATGCCCCCAAAACACACGCCCCTTTTTAATGAGCAGGGAGCCACCTGCGAAAGTGCTCCTGGGACTGTTTTAACAGCTCTGCCTGGATGATGGAAAAACCCATAAGTGTAGTCCATGCACACCTGACTCCTCTTAGCCACCTAAGATAAACTGCAAACCTGTTTTTGATGCCAGATATTCTCTGACATGGAACGGGACCGTTCGGATATTTGTTCCTGTTATCTTCTGACATCAGAGTTGTAGAGATGGAGGGAAAGACCTAGGGGTTGTCTTTTTGTTTGTTTGGCCATGCCAAGAACTGGGGAAAGATGGCAATCATTCTGTCCCCCGGCCCTGCCTTCTCTCCATCCTCTAGACGAGAGGGTTCCCAACCTTTTCAAGTGTGAGGACCCCTTTTTTAACATAAAAAAACTTTGCATTTCTCTGCCATATGTTAGTAGTTGTACTATGAGTATTCGTTGATTGAAAAATATACATCATGACAAAAAGTTCAAAATGACAATTCTTGGTGTGCATATGGAATCACGGCTCCCTTGCAATATCTCCGTGCCCGCCAAGGGTCCCCAGCCCCCCCCCCCCCCCCCCGTGGGTGGGGGGGGAACCGCTGCTCTAGATGTTCTTCAAGGCTATGTGAACAACCAGCCCAACTACTGTGGGGTCTTTCGGGCAATGCTCTTCTACGGATCCCCCTGAGATAGCATAGGAGAAACACGCAGGGATTGTCAAGTGGAATACATTGGTTTTTTTCCCTCATGGCACCAATTGCTCTCTGTCTCTTTCTTGTTCTGGTTATTGGTGCAGCCCTCTTTTTTTGCACTTGCGTAAACAGCTCAACTACCGTTGGCTCAAGTGGTTAAGATCCTGAACTGCAGGCTGGAAGGTCGGTAGTTCAGCAGTTCGAGACCCAAGTGCCGCATGACAGAGTGAGCTCCCGTCTCTAGTTCCAGCTCCTGCCAACCTAGCACTTTGAAAGCAAGAAATTGCAAGTAGATAAAGAGGTACCACTTAGGTGGGAAGGGAACAGCGTTCCGTGTGCCTCGGCGTTTAGTCATGCCAGCCAGCCACATGACCACGGAAACGTCTTCAGACAGCGCTGGCTCTTCGGCTTGAAAAAGGAGATGAGCACCACAATCCAAGAGTTGGATTCGACTGGCTTTTGAGCAACGGAAACCTTTACCTTTAAACAACAAGACCTCCCCCTTGGGTGTTGGAGAGGGGGCTGTACATGCAACTGCAGCAAAACAATCCAGCCTTCTGAACTGTAAGGTCTCCCTCATTCCCTCCTCTCTAGTTGATACACCAGAATCGGCAGGCTATCCTGAACCAGTTTGCAGCAAATCCCCCAGGTGCCGTCGGCATGAGGGCAGGCATGCAGCAGCAGATCACGCCACAGGTAATTTTTTATTTTTTATTTATTTAACTTTCAGTTTATATACCCCAAAGGGTCTCTGAGCGGTTTACATACGATTTTTTAAAATTTCCTACCTAGAGCCACATTAACTGGGGGAAGTGTTAGCCTATCAGCACCCAGGCAGCTCTTGTTGGCTCGTTTCCAGCGGGCTTCAGTTGTTCTTGGCGGTAAACGTTAAGGAAGAACTCCCTTCAGTCCCGGAGTTTCTCATTACTGAGGAAATGGATGCATGGTCAGTAGGGCCCAACCCTTCTGGTCTGTGAATGGTTTATCCACGTGGCTGGGCCCCTCTTGCCTTGGGTGCCTGCCTGACACGTCCTTTCTGCAACCAATTGGTGCTGTGGTTTGCTTTTCTGGTATGCTTTCGATCCGGTGAGTGGTGAACCCCTTTGCCGTTTTGCTCCTTTTTACAGTGAGTTGTGCTTGCTTGTGCTTGGAAGAAGAAGGGATCAAGGCTAACAAAGGGGTCAGCTGATAAACTGAGATGCCTTAATGCTGTCTGTCAGGATGTCTCCCCTCCTCTGTTGCAACACATTGGGGAAGGAGGGGCAGGTGTTTGATAAGAGAAATGGGGAGTTGACGCATCAGGCTCAAAGGGGGGGAACTGAATGCTGATTCACTCCAATCCAAAATTGGCCCTGGGTGCATGAGGGATGGAGCGCACAATTCACCGGGCCTTGGAAGATAAACCCGTCCTTGGGATGCTCTGCCTTCAGGGGCTGGATTGATCTTTGATGTGCAGGAAGGTGAAAGGGATGGGAAGGATCCCATTGCACATTTCAAATCAGTCTCGCCTGCAAGTGCTTTGGTAGCCCATTTTTCCTGTTCTGGGACTGAACTGGGACTTGGAGAGCAGGTTATTCCAGGGTTGAGTGTAAAGGAACCCCACCTTAAGCACTGGTCAAAACCCTCTTATGTACTTGTGCTTTTTTCCCTTTTCATACCAGTCAGTGCAAACGCAGACTGAGTATTTGCTTAACCAGAGGAAGGAAATTTAAAAGTGTGAAAGCTTAGTGATGACTTTGCAGTCGCTCCTACACTAGTCGCTGGGTATCTGCGCTGCATATTTCTAGTGTGACTGAAAAAGGGTTTAACACATGGAAGTTGATCTGCAAGAACTTGTTGGTGGCTGCAGTAAGTCCGATGGCCATTCCAGGAGCTTTGGACAAGCCTGAACATGTTTGGAAGCAGACTTGAGCCAGTGCTCTTAAGTGTCGGCTTCTGCAGAACTGCTGACTAGCATAGGCCTTGACAAGAGAGAGTGCCCCTGTCTTGTGTCCAGCGAGGAAATCTCTATAACCAAGATTTTCATCAGTCGCATTAACTGCACTTGATGGTGTAATCCTCCATGACAGGGTTCCCAAATGTGGTGCCCCCAGGCACTATGGTACCTTTGCTCCCTCTAAGCTGTGAGGAAAAATTCTACTTTGTGAGTTCCTGGCATTAAAGTTGTGAGTGAGTGATTTGGCTACTGCATAAATTAGTTTGCTCTGGAGCCACCCTTCCTGAGCTAAGACAAAAATGTGTGAGCCGGAGGCTAAAAAACCCTGTGAGCTAGCTCACACTAACTCAGCTTAGTGGGCGGAGCCATTGTAAGGCAGGGCTAATTATTGACTGTCTTCATTCAAATAAAAGGTTTTTTCACTGGAGAATCAGGACTAGTAAGCACGTGGGCTTTTCTTGGTGTGTGGTTCCACTCCCCCTTCAAGCTTTCCTTCTTTCCAAGAGGTATGAGCCTCAGTCCCCTGCCGAAGCCATTTGGGCTTTGGTGCTGCCTCCTGTGGCGCTTGTTTTTGGGGTGGTCCTCAACACCCCTCTCAAAATTCCAGATGTGCCACAGGCTCAAAAAGGTTGTGGGCCCTTCATATCTCAAGGGAACGGCTTGATTCCCAATCTGTTTAGTGGGATCAACTGAATGTATCAACCCAATGTAGCAGCAGCAGCAATGAATAAGCAAATTCATTACTAGGAAAGGGATCATAAAACAAGACAGCCTTACCTAAAAAGTTGCAATGTTTTGGCTTAGCAAAATAACAACATGGGGACAAGAGAGAGGTTTATGAACTGTTGAATAGTGTGGAGAAAGTGAATATTGAAGAAAAATGATGAATTCTCTTTCAGAATGTAAAAGCGATATAGGAGATGGTGATAACGGTGTCATCAATGTCTTTTTAAATAAGTTTTAAATGCAGACGGTGGCGGCTAATAGAGCTGTCGGTAAATGCAGATGTGATAGCCAGCAGGACAGCATCCATATTCAGTGTACATCTGGCAACCAAGATGCTAAAGATTAGCCATAATGGGTGTCTGTCACCGTTACATGTTGCTCAAACGTCACTGAAGCATCTGCCTGGCCGCTTCGGGATGGCAGATTGCTGAACTAGATGGGCCATCAGCCTGACCAAGCATCACATGTTTATGTTTGCAGAGTTTAACTAAACGTGTGAGCCGGACAAGTGGGAGAAGGAACAGACTTTGGGAGACTTTCCAAGTAGGCTGCTTTGGGGAGGGACACGTTTGTGGGCATAAGGGACTGGAACATAAAGGAATGAGTGTTCATAGGACTGTAGTCCAACAGCAGCTGTTCTTCAGCACAAGAGCTGGGGGAGGCGGGGAGGCTGCTGGCATTTCTCCACATTTTTTCCCCTAGTTAACAGCTGCAGTGAAGCCAGGAAGGTGGAATGTTTGTTAGTAGCTGTCACCAGGGCAGAGCTAGGCAAGTGAGACCCCTCCAGGTTGCATTTAGCTACTTCTGACAGGGCTGGGGTTTTGTGTGTGTGTGTGTGTGTGTTTATATTTTAGGAGGGTGAGTTTTGTCGGCTGACTGGGCTAAATCAGCCTACAATTAATCTGCTTTGCCAAAAACTCTGTAGGGTTCTTGCAGTGTGGGAGGTGGGCTTTTCATTCCTCTCTGGGCCAAACAAATGGCATTTGCTGCTTTACTGGATCAGGCCAAGATCTGTCTATTCCATATCTCCAATAGCAACCATCCACTCACCTTTGGAAATTCCCTCTACCCCCCGTAGCTAGGGGTTTTTTTGTGTGAGGGGGCCTTGGGGGGGCCACCAGCTAATTAAATTAGGGGGCGCTTCCCCCCCTCCCCCCCAGCAAGGGCAGCCCTTCCCTGTGGAGTGTCTGGCTCCCTCCTTCCCCAAGGAGCCCCAGTGCCCCTTCTTGTGTCGCCGCACCAGGAGCAGCCTGACCTCCTCCCTCAGCTTCCTCCCAGGGCTGGGAGAGGCGAGGCATGCCGTGGCTGGGCTGGCTACAAAGCTGCGGCATTTGGGTGCATTGGTGCGCCCGCTTGCCTCTTTGCCTTGCCTGGCTGGGCTTACCAGCTACTGGCAGGCTGGGCAGCAAGCCTCTCTCAGCCCAGCCTCACCGCCTCTGCTGCTTGTGCTGCCCGTGTCCTCCCTGCCGACAGACAATCGGGGGAGGGGGAGCCAAGGCTCAGGGAGGGAGGCCCATAAAAACCACTAAGGGGGGGGCGGGCCCTGTGAGCCCCGTGGTAGCTACGTGCCTGGGCCTAGTAGTGTGGGCCTGAAATTTTTTCCCTTTATAGCTCAGTAGGCATGGCTCACCTGCTTGAACTGTATGGATTCTTTTATCATAAGCATAATTTACCAGGGTGTACGACTGAAACAAATATTAATGTTTGCCAGCTGCCATTCCATTAGTGTACATAACGTGATGTGCAGTTTTAACACTCACTCAGCTGAGCTATCTTGCTTGCATGTCTGTGCATTATACTTTGGATGAAGGGGAAGGAGCAAACTCTGTAGGGAGGCAGAATTATTCGGAGCTCTCAGCGGCTGGGCGGGAGGCACTAGGGCTGCACCTGGTGCTGAGCAGAGTTATCAGCCGTGGGCCCGAGAGCTCTTGAGGTTTCACGACCCAAGCGTGGTGTAGGAGAGTCGGTCAGAGAGGGTGTGAGCCAAATGCGGTGGAAAGAGATCGGCTGGGGACACAACAGTGGGCCTGCAGGGCCGGGAAAGCATTGAGGACTGAGAGGCTCCTAGGTGCAGGAGGGTGACGGAAGGCCTTCTTCTGTCAGTCGGGAGACCAGATTAACAACATTTATCAAGGTTTTAGGAACAGACAAAATAGGGGGGGGGGAGTGAGCGACACAGACTTCAGCTGTGCACCCACAAGAAATGGGGTCCAGTGTTTTGGAGATGGATTTTCCTGATGTGGTTGTGCTGAGTATGGAGGCCAAGAGTGCTTCTGACCAGCTGTCTGTGATCCACCAGCACTCCCTTTTCACAAGTTCAGCTGACCTGCCTAGGCTAATCCATGCTTCTCTAATCTTGTGATTAGAGTACCACAACACTCTCTGAGGGGGGACTGCCCGTGACGACAACCTGGAAACTGGTTCAGAGTGCAACAGCCTGATCGTGGTCACACATCTTGCCTCCTTTGGCTGCCAGTTTGTTTCCAAGTTCAGCTCAAGGAGCTGGTTATGGCCTTTAAAGGCCTTCGTGGCCGACGACCTTCTGTCCCCATTTGGGGCTGTGCACCATTCACTGGTGGCCACCTTCTGACTATCCGCCTGCTCAAAGGGGGGGGGGCGGGCAGTGTCCCACCTGGCGTCCACCAGTGCCCATGCCTTTCTGTGGTAGTGGCTCCTGCCCTGTGGAATGGGCTGCCTGAGGAGCTGAGGGCGGCAGCCGCACTCAGAAGCTTCTGTGCTGTGCTGTAAGGCTCTTTGGTCTGCTGTGTCTTTTAATGGGGTGTGAGCTACGTTTGGGGCGGGGGGGGACTTAATGGGGGTTTATTTAGTTGTCGATTGTTTTAATTCAGAATTGCAAGCTGCCATGAGCCACAAGGGAAAGGCTGGGTGTAAATACTTTATGTAGAGAGGATTCTGCCTTGGGACAAAGGGCTGGTAGAGATGAGCTTCCTTGTCCCTTCCCACCCTGGCACTCCCCGGATGACTCCTTGCGCATTTTTCAGCAAAGCGGTTGATACCTCCATGCTCCAGTGGAGGGCACTAGCCACCTCCTTTACCTGAAGCTCACCGTTTTCCTCTGCACTCTTTTTCTTCCTCTTTCAACTCAGCCCCCCCTGAATGCACAGATGCTGGCCCAGCGCCAGCGTGAACTCTACAGCCAGCAGCACCGGCAGAGGCAGCTAATGCAGCAACGAGCCATGCTAATGAGGCAGCAGCAGAGCTTCGGGAACAACCTCCCGCCCTCAGCCGGGGTCCCCGTGCAGCTGGGGGCTGGGCGCCTCCCCCAGGCTCCCCCGCAGCAGTTCCCCTTCCCCCCCAGCTATGGTACGAATCCAGGGAACCCCCCTACCTCCACCAGCCCATTCTCGCAGCTGGCATCGAACCCTGAGGCGGCATTGGCCAGCCGCAACAACATGGTGAACAGGGGGATTATGGGAAACGTCGGGGGACAGTTCGGCTCTGGGATGAACCCTCAGATGCAGCAGAACATCTTCCAGTACTCAGGCTCAGGTGAGTCTTGGGCCAGGCCCTGCTAAGGGATAGTCTCACATCTTGCTGACGGAAAGGGATGGTGGGCTTAGAACTATTGTCTTGGTTGTTCAAGACTTCCCCTCCAACTCTGGGACAGAAAATAAGAGTTGTAGTTCTCTCTGGGAGATGTGTTTGTTTTCTTACTCACATTTTTATCCCACCCTTCCTACAAGGAGTTTGAGACCGTAAACATTTCATCCTCGCTACAACACTCTGAGGTGAATTCAGTTGAGACAGAGCGGTTTGTCCCAGGCCCCTGAGCATGCTGGCAACCATATATCATTGGATCTCAAAACTGCTGATACCAGGAGTCGACGCTGAGAGACCGTAGCTTCTCTAAGGTTGCCTACTGGGCTTCGGACCAAGGGCTTCCTCATTCTAGCCTCATCTGTGCTTCTTGAATGTTCTATGCAAAGGTGGTCAGAGGCGGACAGGCGCTTGTTCAAGAGTTGCCAGTCATTCATGGCCTGCAGTGTGCGCACTCATCCCCCCGTGTCCATCTCTGATCAGGGAGGACTTGCAGGGATTTTGTGTAGTAGTTTAAAAAAACCCCCACAGAATTTGTTTTACCAGATGTTCCAGTGGAAAGAAAGAAGTGACGATTGGGGAGGGGTTGTGGCTCAGTGGGAGAGCCTGTGCTTGGCTTGCAGAAGGTTCAGTCCCCCGGCGGCACCTCCAGTTACAAGGGCCAGGAAGTAGGTGATGTGAAAGACTTTTCTCTGCCTGAGACCTTGAAGAGCTGCTGCCAATCTGAATAGACAATACTGACCCTGATGGACCGGTGGTCTGATTCAGTATAAGGGAGCATCATGTCTGATTTTGTACACTACTGGGTTACAGTGCAATAGGATCCTGAGATGCCCTTCTGCGAGCAGAAAGCAGTCCCACTCACTCAAGGGAGAGGTCCATGATTTTTGTGAACATCCCTTGCCATGCCTAAGTGTTGACGCCATGGATGCCGTCACATCTCGTTTGGCCCTGAGAAACAACTTTTCCAGTGGCACGGGGCAGCAGAAGAGACGAGAGGCAGGAATTCCCTTAGGATCTACGCTGAAGCTTCTTTTGCGCATCACCTCCAACTCTCCTCTCGTTAGTTGTTAGCAATTAAGTTGTGCTGTTTCCGGGCTGGAGTTCTGGCATGTAAAACCAGTGCTGGGTGAGCCCCATGGCACAAGCTCAGCCACGGAATCCTGCAGGTGGCAGTCACGTCCCAGATTGCTTGTTGCCTCACCAGCTTCCCCTGTCAAGAAAGGACTTCAGGGTCACTGAACAACCAGGGTGGGGCAGGATTTCCAGCCGGTCTTGGCTGTCATCCCCTGAAGATAAAGCAAAGCAGTTGCCTTGTAGTCCGCCATACCAGAGGTCCAAGCTAAGGGTTGTTGCTCTCTTTCCCCCCAGGAATGGGTCAGCAAGGTGAGGCTGCTTTTGCCCCATCACTCAGTCCCAGCAGCCCCCTGATGTCACCACAGCTCCCTCCTTCTCAGAGCCCTATGCTCCAGCCGGCCCCACCCACGCCCGGGTACCAGTCACCGGACATGAAGACCTGGCAGCAAGGAACCATGGGGAATAACAAGTAAGCACAGTTCTAAGGTGTCGACACTCCTAATTTTCACATTCCAGACTTTGGTGAAGCTTTCTCAGCAATAGACGCGTGCTGTTTTAGATCCCCGGAAATCATCAAAGTGGTTTTACAAGAGGTCCCTTTCCAGAGGCAGTGGAGGGTATGGTCGGCTAGGGTCTCCCCCTCCACAGTGGCAAGTTCTATGGCCACGGCTGCCACTCCAGGCACTCTTGCTGTTCAGGTGACAACCGGCAGCCCAAATGGCACCCTTTGGAGCACCAGTTATGGTCCTGAGGTTGCCAGTGCTGATACCCCCCATCTTATAGAAATGTCCAGAGTTCAACGCACCCAGTTTGTTCACCTTCTCCTTGAATGTCATACACGGAGCTGTTCATATTTTGCACCTCTTAAGATTTTCTCTCCTGGGTTTGCCAGATTGCTGCCATTCAAAAACCTTGGGGCAGAATTGCGATTTGCACAATCATTCTTTCTTCTTAACCAGAATTTTTTGTAGTCGGTGTTCATCAAGGCGGTTGTTGAGACAGTCATCAAGGGGCTTCCTTCCCACTTCCTTCTCACTAGCACATGTGGGCAGCTGCTTTAGCCCCCAGTCTCCCTGGGGGTGTTTCCCAATCAGTCATGGGAATCTGGGACTTGTGCAGGAGTTTGTATGCATATATTCTACACAGTGCAGTTCTGAGACTGAAACCATGTAGACGTTCACTCTATCCCTATCTGTAACTCTCTCGTTTATTGATTTATTTATTGTCTGTAGTGTGTTTGGCCAAGCTGGGCAAACCCAGCCCCCACCAAACCAGCAGGGAATGTACAACAACATGAGCATCACGGTCTCCATGGCTGGAGGGAATGCCAACGTCCAGAATATGAACCCAATGGCTGGACAGATGCCAATGAGCTCACTTCAGATGCCTGGCATGAACCCGCTGTGCTCAGAGCAGGTTAGTGCAACCCACAGTGTCTCCCTTGTCCTCCCGCAGACTCATTTGAGCTGTTCCCAGCAGACGTCAACACTTTCCTGACTCACAGAGAGCATGAAACACACAGTCGTACTGAGGGGCTCACCCTGGGAATTGGCTGGCATCAAGGGAACAATTAGAGGCTGAAGAACAGTGGCCTAAGTCAATGCAGTCCTAAATAGGAACCAACCTAGGTGTTCCGTTGTTCGGCCTGAAGCTGGGAACCATGATCTCTGCCAGAAAACTAAAAAGGGAGGGGGGAGAAGCAGTGGGTGGGGCTGGAGACCTGGAATCTTCCACCAAGCCCCATCCTTTGCACGTGTTTCTCTGCCCCAAACCCGGGAGGAGAAGCAGCTGGAAGTGGTAAGCGCTTCTCCCCTCCAGATCACACCCTTCCACTGCCATTTCTGTTTGAATGCTCCGTGTCAGTTTGATCTCACTGAGGCCTTTGGCCAAAAATCTAATTGCAGAATACAAAGCAAGAGGTATGTGGACTTAATATATCTGTTGTGACCAGCTTGGGGGGGGAAGTGCGCATGCGTGCACGCATTCTGCCATCTTAAGGTTTCAGTCTAAAGTTCTTTACCGGAAACTGGGAGGGATAGGAAGGCTTATTTTGTACACTGGAAGTTTTCAGGGTATCCTGTACGATAACTTTTAAGATGGGTTTCACATGGAAGTCTTACAGGGTGGATGTAGGAATGCTCATGCACACTCCAAATGCCTCCTCTCCCCATTCTTTGGCATATCAACTGCAATCAGAGTAATTAACAAGGGAGGGGGGACTGAAGGGTGGAAATGATGCCATGAGCTGTTATCTCCACATGGTGTTGGTGACCCTGAGATGACTATCACACTTTGTGTAGATCAAGAGTTGGAACCTTTTTTGCTCATCTTCTTTTACAAACTGTTGTGGGTTGCTCAGGGAGAAGAATTGTAGCTTAGTGGTAGGGTATTATGCAGGCTGTATCCTTGGCATACTGAAGGTCCCGGGTCCAGTTCCTGGCACCTCCACATTACGGGACCCCAGGTAGCCCTGCAGTCAGGGATCGGGATGGCTGGAGGATCCGCTCATCCCGTGTGGACCTGCCTCCCAAGAGCTCTCTCAGCTCCACCGACTTCACAGGGTGTCTGTTGCGGGGCGGGGAAGGCGATTGTAAGCCGCTCGGAGACGCCTTCGGGTAGTGAAAAGCAGGGTATAAAAACAACTTTTCTTCTTCATCATCATCATCATCATGATCAGCCAGGCGAATGAGCACCAGAAATGTTTTCTGTTGGTGCAACAAGGCCTTGGAATTCCCATCCATCAGGCTCCAGGAGAAGATTTTTTTTATGTACCCAAGCTTTATGATTTTTTTCTTAATTCTGCTTTCCAATCATAATGTATTACTATTTCCTGTGAGAGGATGTAAAGTTTTTTAAATATTGTGTTAGGCTTTCCAGGTTATTCATTGCTGTTTAAAATGCTCTTTACATTTTTGTGTACTGCCACGGAGATAAAAATGTTGAATAGGTGTTCAGAAAGACCTTCCTCTGTGTATGAAATTTGTGAGAGCTGCTGCCAGTCCAGAGCAGACAGTCCTGGACTGGGTGGAGAAGTGGCCCACTTCAGCGTAAGGCAGCTTCATTTAGCCACATGGGTTTAAGCCTTCATGAGAAACTGTAAATTGCCCCTTTTGAGTCACTCCTTGGAAGCATTAACAAATCCAGTACTGGAGTTCAGGGTGCTTTTTACAGGATAATTATAGATGGAAATAAGCCCTTGGGAAAGAGATGCTTCCCCTGGTCCATAGGTGCTGGGTGTCTGGCTCCAGGACTGGAGGACCGCTTTCCCTAATATTGCTAGGGGCTTATCTGTGCTACACATGCATTGGTTTTATGCCAGTTCAGCTGTCACGGCTTCTCCAAAAGAATAATTGAAATAGTTTGATTAGGGTGTTACGAAACATTTAACAATCCCGAGGACCCTTGTCACCCCCCCAACCCCCCCACAACCAATAGCTTTCAGGGCTGCTTTAGGAAAACAGCTATTAAACCAGGTTAAGTCGGTGGTGTAGAAATGTGATAAAGGTTTCTGAATTACAGTTCTGGAGGTGCTGTTCAGAGAAGACAGGTCCTGCTATTTAGCAGTGTAGGATCACCATCCCTTCGATGTGATTGGGATATATTCTGATGGCCACACCGTGAACAGCAGAGTCTCACTTTAGGACTCAGAATGCTTCTCTCTGAAAAATTTCCCTCATGTAGCAAAGCTAGTCTTGAGACTCCTTCGTTTCTTCATTCTTACCCCTCTGCCTGTACCAATGCTGAAAGAGGGTGGAGAATGAAAGGCTGCCGAGTGACCTCTGAATTCTCCATGTTGGCCCTTTTTCAGGTAAATGATCCCGCTCTCAGACCTACGGGCCTCTACTGCAACCAGCTTTCTTCCTCTGATCTTTTGAAAACAGAATCAGATGGCGCACAGGTCAGTAAAAGTCTCCTAAGCCCTGAACAAGGTACTCAGGGACAGCCGGAATGGCTGCTTCAGTTGCTTTGGGAATCATGGCACGGTAGTTCCCCTGCAAACGATGAACCTGTAATAAGAGCTTTAATGGGGCTGTGAGCCTTTGCGGATGCCTTGGTCCAGAAAAACCATCCCAAGGGCTTTCCTCGCAGGGACTGGAATTGACTGGAGATGACCAGATCTCAGATGTCATCTGGCCTTATGGTCCACGCATTCATTTTGGCAGTGACTCTAGTGTCCTTCACGATGCAAGACAAGTGCCAAAACAGCACCTTCTTCCATGGCAAGTAGAATTCCTCCCGAGTGACTAGTTTCAGAGTAACCCAGGCTGCCCTGTGACATCTAAGGAGGAGGGGCAGACTGGTAAACATGTGTTTTTTTAAAAATAATAATAATAATAATAACAGCAAGTAAATTTTGCATATTGCAATTCAAAACCGGAAATGTGCTTCCCCTCCTCTTCAACCTGAAAAGATCCTCCGCCAGTCAGCATGCAACTTTGTAGAAGATGTGACCCATGACAACCAGCGTCATTAGCAGCAAAAGAAGTGGGGCTGGAAAAACAGATGCTGCGTAGAGCCAGCGTTGCCAGTTCTTCTGGGTTCTTTGAGTCTAGCTGGGCTGTATTACATGTTGCTAGGATCAGCCGCATCTCCATCTGGCGATGCATTTGGAAGAGGTCTCAGGGGGCCTTCTTGATGCATGCATACTTAGGGCAAACCATGCCCAAATCCTAACAATGTTTACTTCTTGATTATTTGGTGGGTGTCAATTAAGATTTGTTAGGACAGCTGTGTTCTCACATAGGCGAGGTTTTTCAGAGTCCTCCCGTGGTTTAAAAAACAGTATGAATTAACAGCAAAAGCCTTATCAGGTAACAGCCTTACCACAATGGGAGTATTTCCAAGGATTGGCAACATCTGTGGAGTGCTTTAATCAGAGTGCTTTGAAACATCTGTCAAGGAATCAGTTTTATCCAGCTTTGGATCCCATTTATAGGTTCCGCATTAACCCTTTGGGTTGATAACGATGAACAGGAAGAGAGAGACCTCCCTAGTAAGTTCATAGATGGGACAGTAGAAAAGATCATGGAAAGCGTCCTCCGTTACCTTCTGTCCTCAGATGCACAAACTGTTTACAGTCAGCACTCTCCCAGGTACAGGGAGGCCTTTGTCTCCAATATGAGGGCAAACAAAACCGTAAGGAAGATTGAATTTACACAGATAACCTTCCCAACCGTCTGTCTTGGGACAAGACACCAAACCTTGAAACTTTTGCCATATCTTGGCACGGACCACGCTGCCTGAGTTTGGCTGGCATTACTAAACCGACAGCATTCAACAAATAGGGCAGCAAGCCACGATGTGATCCGATGCGACCATATCTTTGCAATCAGTCAGTTGGATCCAGACTAAATTGGCAGTTCTTGCAGACTCCCCTTTATTGTGTCAGACCCTGCTCATGTAACTTGTCAGGGTCCCGTCTGTCAGGAGCAGCTTGGAGGCCGAGGGTTGCAGTGGGAGGGGGGAGGCAGGAAAGTCCCATTCTGCTATTAGAAAATTTAGTCTGGATCCAACCCATAGGATTAGTTCATGTGACCCCCCCACCCTCTTTCATTGCTGGCAGATGGAGAGGAGTCTCCCAAAGCTTTGCTTGTTGCAGCTTCTCAGTATCCCAACACTTCAACCAGTGACATGGTTGCATGAACTCATACCCTGACTGACTGTAATCCCAGCCCTGCTCATAAGATATGAGGCAGGAATATTTGGGGGACAGTAATGCAGGCAGTGCTCATAACTATTTTGTGTAGTTTTAAGCACTCTTGACTTCTGCAAGCTGAACAGTGATTCCTCCGTGAGGTGGTAGAAAAGACCAAGAGCCCAGTAGCACCTAAAAGACGAACAGAATTTGTGGCAAGGTATGAGCTTTCGTAAGTCACTGAAGAAGTGAGCAGTGACTCACGAAAACTTATACCCTGCCCCAAATTTTGTTCGTCTTTAAGGTGCTACTGGACTCTTGCTCTTTTCTGCTGGCTACAGACAGACTAACACAGCCGCCACCCATCTTGATCCGTCTCCATGGGATAGCTGTCCAAACTGAGTTCAGTTTGCAGCACTCGCCTTCAGGACACCAGGTGCAAATGCAGCCCTGGCTTCTGAACCAAGATTCCAGCTTTTAGTGTTCAACATTTCCTTGCAATGAGAGCAGAGTCCTCAACACCTTGGACACACAGAATCCAGAGCGGAGGGGCCATGTATATATTTAATAGCCCTGTCTAAAGAATAGTCTTAGTACACTGAGTATTTGTTGCTATGTGCGGAAGAGGCAAAGACCTGCTGCTATGGGAGATGGGAGATATCCAAGATGTGAAGGAGCAGGGGAAATTCTAAGTAAACTGTTACAAAACCGAAAGCAGACCAGAGGAATATGTCAAATGGTGGGTATAAAGAACACTGGATTGGATATTTTAGGTACCTCTCTGTAGCCTGTAACATTCTAGGACAATGTGGAATGCTTTGAAAAGAGTCAGTTAAATTATGAGATGCTGGTAATATTAGGAGCTGGACAAAAATGCTGAGAATCCTGGGAAAGCAAGAACTGAGAGAATGAAAAGTGAAAAGGAGGGCTGTTACTTTGTGGCCCCAGCATGCAGCCTCTCCATTACCGCTGAGACCTTCCTGTTACCCACCAAATGTGCGGAAACAAATCCCAGGTTTGCCATTTTTACAGGTTAAAGAATAGGCTTCGGCATCAGGTAAAACCTCATCATTCCTGGCCGCAAAGAGATCAGCGGCCAAGTGTTGATAAGGGGGGGGGGTGCAGAAAAAGTGGGAGAACCCAAGAGTTGGGCTGCTTAAAACGTGGTTTCACAGAATCCCTTAGGGCTGCTCTCGTGTCTTCATCTTGTCTGCCTGATGCTCGTCACTGTCGGGCAACCCAGAGGGGTTGAGGGGC